ATACTAGGACTTATTAAGTAGTTTTTAAGTTATTTAAAGAAGAATTTAATAAATAAAAGCTAGCCTTTTTAAATTATAGCTTAAGCTTTTAAGCTATAAGTTAAAAAGGCTAAAGAAAGTATAATACTTACTTATTTATAATACTTACTTATTAACTATATTATAAGGTTATCTTATTAAGGGCTAAACTTTATAATCTTTAATATATAAATAAGATATTAAGCTAATATTATAAGATAAAAAGGATTAAATTATAAAAAGAAAGGATTATAATTATATAAGAAGTATTATAAGTAATTAATTAAATAGATATTAATATATAGGTAATAGTTAAATTATTAAAAAGTAATAATTAAGGAAAATTAAAGTAATTAGGTAATTAGTATTATAGTATATATAGTAAAGGCAGTTATAATACAAGGACTTATTAGGTAGTTCTTAAGTTATCTAAGGAGGAATTTAATAAGTAAAAGCTAGCCTTTTTAAACTACAGCTTAAGCTTTTAAGCTATAAGTTAAAAAGGTTAAGAAAAGTAACTTACTTATTTAAATAACTTACTTACTTATTAACTATATTATTATATTAAAATATATAATTAATAAGTAATATATTATAAAACAGGAGGCTTTATATATTTATTATAATATACTATTTAACTATATATATAAGTTAGGAATTACCTATTAAGCTTTATAATTTATATTATAATAATACTCTTACCTTTTAAATATCTACTATTAAATTTAGACTTTTAATCAGTAATAGAAAACATAGCCTAAGGAGCCTAACTAAGTAGATATTCGTTGGGCATCACTGCATTAGAACTGGGATATATTATTAGTTTAGCTATTACTTCCCCTCATTCAATTACCTGACGACTCTGGTCGTACATCTTGCAATTGTTGATTTCTTTTAATATTTCTTTTTACGAAGATTATTCTAAGCTCTACGTTCGTGGTATTTTCTGGCCTCCGGTAACGCCATTCCATCATGATGAAACGAAAAAGGTCTTCGAGCGAAAGCAATGTGCGATTAAGCACCCGAACAGGGGCAAATGCGATGTCAAATCATGTCTGTCCACGTTGCGATGGCGTGCCATGGTTGTCGATATCCCATATATCAGACAACAACCCATTGGAGGATAAGTTTATCGTCCCAGTTGACGAGTCCCATGCCGAGCTCCGAACATCGTCCTGTACGGTTTGTCAGTTGTTCGCTCTACTGAAGCCCTCAGCTCTAGACCATTTTAAATGCTCTCTACGGGCAGTCCCTGCGAATTGGTTTTTCACAGGACGCACAGCCTTGAAGCATCCTGTACGAACCGACACAACGGTGCTTTTTATTGACTCGGAAAACGACAAACGAAAGCCCCTGCGACGGAGGCACATGGGTCATCTGATAGCAATAGAACCGTTGCTTGATTCATCTGCTTCGCTTGAACCTCGGCTTATCAGAGACGAGATCAACTTTGAGTTGATCAAAGAATGGATGACATATTGTAATCAGAATCACTTGGAGTTATGCAAGTCGGACAAATTCACTACATCCCAAGATTTCAAATCATTCGCTGCTGGGACAGTGAAGTTATCCCCGCGCCGGCTGGATGTAGTTACGCTGCACTGTCATACGTCTGGGGGGACATAGAATATCCTAATCCCAATGATTATAGCAAATTCCCCCAGGTAGTCGTGGATAGTATCAAGGTAGCTTCTAAGCTTGGATGCCATTATCTATTGGTCGATAGACATGTAGGTTTATTGAACATAAAGTGACACGAACTAACAATTTGTAGTGCATTAACCAGGAAGACCCCGATAAGAAGAAGCAGATACAAAGGATGGATGAAATCTATTCTCAAGCCGACTTCACCATAATCGATGCTGCTGGGATAAATTGCACCTATGGCTTGGCTGGTGTAACTCCCTCTTGCCGCCCTGATCAACCGCAGGGTTATGCCTAAGTAAATGGCGTAAATCTTATATACCTCGGTATGCCTCCTGCAGACAGGATTCGGGCTAGTCGATGGGCCTTTTGGGGCTAGACCTATTAAGAAGGTGTTTTATTACATAAAAGGATATTCTTTATTAATAAGTAAGTTATTTTTTAGTGTAATACTATGACTTATTAGGAATTATTTTCCCTCTATATAAATACTTTATATAGCGAAATTTATAGTAATAAAAGGCAGAAGCTAACTCTTCTAGATACTAAGCCTTTATTCCTAATTAATAATAATATTAGGAGGCATTTAATAGAGTTTAGTAAGAGAGACCTTAAGTATAATAAAGATTCTCTTAATGCTTTTCTTAGGATACTTAATGTTAATTATAGAAATTATAGATATATTTACTTGCTGGGAAACCTGCTTAATGTAAGGAATGGGAATATAATTAACGCTTAGTATTACCCTAAGCCTGGTACCAGAAAGTTTAATTTCCCTAGCTGGTTATGGACTGGTTGGAAGGGAGTAATTAAGATGATAAGCTATAAGAACCGGGATCCTAACCTTCGGCTAGTTACTATAGATGGAAACTTAATCCTGCTTAATGAGTATATAGATAAATCTAATGCGAACTATCTACGAGGAGTAAAACCTGTTATCGAAATGAGAGGGAGGATGATAAAACTATCGTTTAAACTCATTAAATGGGGTTTAGAGTAACCCATTTATTGCAACAGAATTGTCAACGAGCCCGAAATTGAAGATGGCCCTTGGGCTATACTACTACTAACAAAAGAAATCACGTGCTACTCGTTCCTATACCTTGATAACGAGGCACTGGCGGGGCTTTGTTGATTCCAGCTTCTAGTTATGGTCTTGGAGCTTAGAACTATGTTGGAAAATAAATATATTATAATTCACGCTTTAAGAGAAACGGGTGATACTTTCGAACGTGTTAGGCTGATAATAATCCGAGATGCATTTAAGTCTGATAATGAAAGTTGGAATACAGAGCTAAAGCCAACTTTGTATAAAGACAGGAGTGGGAAATGGATAACTAGAGCACTAATACCAGAGCCACAAGACCCTATCTGGCTGCAGGAAACTAAGCAGATAACGATTACGCTGCAGTAGGACGTTATTGAGCAACTGAAAGTACTTAAGATTTACAGTGATAATGAACATCCAGAGGTGAGAGATAGTGAAACAGAATACGTGATATTATATGCAATTAATAAATAGCAGTTTTAAATACTGTTTAAAATTTACTAATTAGAAAGGTCTTAATAAATTATATTTAATTTGAACTTTTAAGCCCTAGTACTAAAAATATCTTTTTATAACTATTACCTAGCTTATAGCCTAATTATATTTAAAGAAATACTATTACTTATCTTCTATTAAAGTAAGGTAAATTAAGATAGATACTAAGCCTATATAAATTAAGCTTTATAATCTATTAATCTGATAGTTATAATTATTATTACTTTTTCCTACTTTAAGAATTATAAAAGTCTTTATACCTAGCTATTTAAATAAGTATATTTTTATTATAATAATAATAAAAAGATTACTAGCTATAATATATTTTTTATATTACTTATATAAGCTTTTTTTATTATATGAATTATTTTTATTTTCTTAATTAGGATTTAAATATGTATTTATTAGTTAAATAGTAGTAATATATATAATAATTTAGGTATAAATGGTTAGAAATTAAAGCTATTGGTTCCTCGTTTATACTATTGTAATAACAGATATATACTAGTGCGGGGTATGCCTTAGAGGCTAATGACCTCGCTGAAGCATATACTGTACCAATTACCCCGTCCCGATACACGATTTGATGGTTCGTGCATGCCACTACTAATTCGGGTTGCCAGATGTTCGTACTTTAAACAACCTCGGATTGTCTCCATAAGGCAGGTCGAGCCAGCCCAACTAGCGGCTGATTCTATACAAGCATTGCAATCGTCCTTTTGGCCGAGGGTGACGGTAAGATTCTCGACACGTGCCGTGAGCTTGAATGGAAACGCCACCTCCGGCCATTCCGATGTATCAACTTTCGCTTCGAAAGCACCTCTTCATTTACCCCGCTTGTCTTCTGACTAATTTCAAGAGCCATACTATAGTGCCAATCAAGGTTTTGTCAGATGGGACCCCGGTTACATTTTCCAAGTCTTGATGTACTATGAATCTGATCTACTTGCCCAATGAAAACTATTCCCTACCATTTTTTATATCTTCCACTGACATCATGGCACTTAATATTGTTATTATACTGTAACTTGAAGCTCTCTTATAAAACCCTTTGCTAAAGCCTCCTAAGCCTCTTTTTATTGTAGATTTCGCGAGTTGAACTGCTTTATGGCCTTTGTATTGTCTTACATAAGTAGAAGTTTATTTAATGATGGTAACGATGATGATGATAAAAGGCCTTACTCTGACCGGTTTTGGTACTCTAAGTGAAGGACGAGTGACCTACTTTGACACTTTGCGAGATGGTGGGGTAACTAACGAATCTTTTACATGATACCTCTAGCTAACAAAGTTTTGAGACGTAATTATTTCATCACTTATCGACCAAGATTAATAAATTGCATTTAGCCACCGGCTTGATTTGTAAAGCGTCGCAGAGTGACGAATAGAACAAGTAATCACGCAAGCCACAACAGCCATTGGAAATCTCCGTTATGGTTAGGAATCAGTATTACACCACATTCTGTTTAGGTTCTGAACGGTAAAGCCGGTTAAACACGACTTAGTACAAAGCGATGCACCAGCTTAAATAGTCCATTATGGCTTGGTTTCTCATTGTGCTGACCTTCCCTACTATGTCGGTTTGATCCTTCATGACAGGAACTAAGGCAACAGAAAATCCATTCAGTCGCGATTAAGCTTCCCTCAGCTTCCAGGTCTCATAAGTATGTAAAGTTGAGTTCGGCTCGACTTGACAAGAGATTGACATAGCCGCTAACTGCCGATCAGCTTGCGCATCTTATTACTTCGAGTGAATCTGTCACGTTCTGCTGTTCCATTTTACAATTAGTATAACATGGCTCCAGCAATCCAGGGACGGAAGATAGTGATTACTGGCGGTAGCGGCCAGCTTGGGAAGCCGACTATCGACGCCCTCGTCGAATTGGGCGCCCATACTATTACCGCTATTCAGCGACCTGAAGCTGCCAGCACGTTTCCTGTTGGTATTACTGTCAAAAAGGGCAACCTTAGGGATGAAGCTTTCCTTACTGAGGTGCTCAAAGGCCAAGATGTCCTCGTCTTAATGCCGCCTCTAGCTCAACTCGTAGAGCTTCAGGAGCCTGCCATCCGCGCGGCTGCCAATGCTGGCGTACCCTATATTCTACCATCTGAGTTCGGCCCCGACCCCTTTGCCGTCCAGCTAGTAGAGGAGAACGAGCTACTCATAGCGAAGAAACGCATTCGAGATTTGATTGAAAGTATCGGTGTCAGTAGTTGGATATCTATCGCCGTCGGCCCGTGGCTCGATGCAGGTCTTAATCAGGGCTTATGGGGTATTGAACCAAAAACCCGCAACGCAACGATTTGGCGAGGTGCTGATGCCAAGATCAATACGGCTACTATCTCACATACTGCCGAGGCAGTTGCTGCAGTGCTGAGCTTGCCGGAGGCTGAATTGGCCAAGTATAAAAACAAAGCTGTATATACGCCGTCGTTCCACTTAACGCAGCGAGAGATCCTAGACGCGGTTCAGCGCGCAACAGGGACGACAGACGCGGACTGGGATATCAAGACGCGAGATGTTAACGAAGTGGCTAGAGAGTATGAGGATAAGATCAGTCAGGGCGACGGTGTGGCGCCTTTTGTGAAATTCTTTATCACACATTTCCTTGAGGGCCATGGCGGCGACTTCAATCACAAGGTCCATTCGACGGAGTTGGAGAAACTGGAGCAGTTAGGACTGCACAAGGAGGACCTAGTACAGGCTATTAGGGTGGCCCTGCAGTAAGTTAAATAGAATTCTACGAGATGGCAGATAACGTGGTCCATCCCTTGTGAAATGATAGTAATGTATTATTGCACTTAACCACAGCTTTATATAATTTCTTAGAGATGTCTTTAAATATCTTCTTTTAAATAATATAGGGAAAATAATATCATAGACTAAGTATGCCAGGAGGTCTAAATAAGTTATAAACTATTTTTATTCCTAGTTTTTATTATATTTATTAGCTAAGCTGGTATTATTTAACTAGTATAAGAGTATAAAGTACTAAGTAAAAGGCAAGATACGTCTACATATCTCACAACCAAGTCGAACTCTCTCGGCAGCAGCTCCACCTCGTCCCTCCAGGACAGCCTTGTTTTCTATCGCTCGGCTAGCCAGGAAAGGCAGACACTCCTTCAAGTCGCCGTAGCTCATTGACTTGACCACAAGTGGCAAGCCTCCTTCTGCTTCTATCGAACCAGTAATCTTGTTGGTGAGGTCATCCTTCATTCCTGTACACAAGTTAGTCAGATGCGTTATCGTCACGGCTTCGCAGAAATGGCAACTTGCCGTACAACTGGGCAAACGCGAAACTGCCGGCTATTTCCTTGGACACCACTAGCTTTCCGTTCTCATAGTTTCGCCGAGCCAATCCATGCTTTTGTAGTAGGTCCAGTCCGAGACCGACGCTGATGGAGTTGTGGGTAGCGAAAACGGCGCTGAGCTTAGAATGACCCGTTTCTCGCACCTGTGGAGCAATAGTAGCCACAGTCTTCTCGATACCATAGTTAAAGCTTGCATCGGTCCCTTCCTTGGTTGGCAATACGGGGCCGTGTCCTTGTTTACCATCTGTCTTCCACCGCTCAGCATCTGTTACAATGTATGCGCCTTGGATCTGGTTGAAGAGCAGTTTGTAGCCACGCTCTTCAGCACGGGCGACCTGCTGGTCGAGGAGCTGGGCGTATCGGCGGAGGTAGGCTTGCAACGAGGCGATGCAGGTGGCGGGGCCATCCAAGGTGTTGTACTTTTGCATGAGCTCGTCTGTGAGACTGTCGATGACGGGCTGGTACCAAGACTGCTCAGCATCGATAACAATTCGGACGTTGTTATCTTGTGCTTTGCTAGCAATAGCCTCTATTGTAGCGCGTAAGCTCAGCAATTGTTGGCGGCCCAACTCAGTCACCTCTCTTCCATTCAGTGCGGCCTCCCAATCGCCATCGTGAGGTAGTCCTGGGTAAGGTACATCCAGATCCAGTCCTCTTTCCCCTCTTGTCCTAAGTATAGCATTGGATCCATGGTACAAAGCAACAGGGGGGGTAACAAGCTAGTGATCTTGATTCGGACCCAACACCGGTTATCGCCGCTATACGCACTAGCATCAGGACAGGATTGCTTAGCCAGTTGCCCCTGGGCATCAATTGACTCCAGGACAAGCTGAGTCTGCTTAGGGATCAATGCAGGATCCTTGCTAGAACCATCCAACTTAGCCTCAATATTGTATCTAGGGAGCGTGCCGATCTGCTTGTTACGAAGGTATTGGATCTTTGGGATGCAATTTTCCGTCGTTTCCCCTCCTGGGAACTGGTTCAAGAATTTCTTCATCACAAATGTGTGCGTAGCCGAAGAGAGGATGGGAATCTTTGACGCGATGTTAGAGAGTGTCTCGCTTATATCGACCCAGGTTGGCGAAGAACAGAATGCAAACGCACTATGGATTGTTCGTTAGCCAAGTCGCCATTTATCTTTAGTAAGGCCAGTTTTACATCCAGCCCGAAATAGCTTGCTAATTGGGATGTTGTGGAGGGCTTCAACGTCTTGCGGATCCTCAGGATATCGGCTTTCATTCGGTTTCAGTAACAGTAATCCGAGTAGCGAAACTGAGCCGCCTGCAGCGTAGATAGCCTTGTTGCCTCTTGGGGTCCATCGCTTCAATAAGGTCGTAGTCTGCTCCGAGGTCGACACTGATTTGATTGCGCGCGGGGCAATTGATGTTAAATAGCGCCTCGCATTCAGAGTGATGGATAGCATGGCTATGATTTGGCGTGTACAAACACAGAGAATGGGTCAGAGAATATCAACACATATGTGACCGACATTTAAAGGTGAGATTAAGGATGCTGGTCCGTCGTCCCTTTACTCGGTCCGGTCAACGAACTAAGCGAGACATGTATAGTCTTGGACTTAAGTCTTTTTTGGCTTATCGAGGCCCGTTACTTGAGCGAGACTCAGGAAAAAAAGCTTTACTAGTAGCTGTGATCTATTGGCACAAGAGCCTCTTGGCCCAAGTCATACAGCCCTCAGTAACGCATTAATACACCAACTCGGGCTGGAGCTGATTTCGGACCTTGTAACGCCCCTGCCTCTGCGATCATCATAAAGACAAATCCCAAAAGCTCCCTCCACATTCTACACCTCCTACGACATAACCCCAGTCTTGACCGGAGTAGTAGCTAACGAGAAGTTGAGTAATTATTAGAGGATTTGGCGTCTTCTTTTTCATAGAAGCCGAGATTTGGGAATCCGCTACGTTCACCCGAACTTTGATTCGCGGCCAGGCCTTTTATGTGCTAATTTACATCGCTATCGCTAGCATCGTCTACGGCAAGATTGGCCATTACTTCGGTAGCCCAGCAGTTGAATCAGACAGGCCCCTGTTTTAGAAGGTGTTTGATGGCATTGTTATGCCATGTCTGCTTATTGCAGCTTGGATCCCGGCCCTGTTCTGATGCAGCATAAACCTTGCTAGAATAGAGACATATGTTTGGATGAAAACCGGGGACTGGCCCCGTTTCTGTATTTAATATATAAGTAGGTGTATCAAGCTAATAAGGCTGCGCGAGTATGAGAGACCTAGGGGCCTCTGGGTATTGGTGAAGTTGCAGAGGCTCATATTTGGCTGCTCTACGAAGATTCGGCACCGATTTCTTGGTGAACCTGGGACAAGGTTCGTATTTGTGCATAGAAAGGTAGTTTAGTGATCTACTACTTCTTAAGGTAATAGAGTCTCGCCCACCACAAGGTGCAATTTCCGACCCTATAACCCTTTTCTGAAGTGAAGGGCTCCTGGTATCCCGTGGCAAGGGCTTTTCAATGGGTACATCGCCGAGCTCCTTGACAGCATTCTCCCTCTCCATAGAGGTGTCTTGATAGGGTTCAGTGACATGTCGATGAAGTTGCTTGGTGACAGTGGTATTGGCGTAAGATATTGTCTGTGATTTGTGGGTTTTCCTATGGGTTTGTGATGAATGTTGAAGGGATGAACCCCTTGGAGGGGGTACCATGGCAAGCTTTGGGAAGGGGGAGTAGTTTGCTGTAGTTCTTTGTGTAGTATTTGCGAGGTTCCAAGTAGGAGGTCGAGGATCCTGTCTATTTCGGCCAATCTTAGCTGGCACTTTATGAAGTCGAGCTTGTGTCGGGATTTCAGGAAGCGGCTTGTTTGGGGGTGGTGGTAATGGCGGCCCCAGCAAATCAAGTTTGGCAGGGAACAGAAAGGCAGGATGTTGCTTTTTGAGGCGGGGATTGATGCTTTCGTTGGTTTCCTCAAGGCTAGGCATGGTGTTTTCCCAGATCATAACGGAGGGTTGGTGGTACTGGTAGGCATCCTCGTGGGGCGTCACGGGTTCGGTTTGGTCATCAATAGTCCCAGATGCGGATCCATTAGAGCTACCTGCCAGGACTTTGTATCTAGAGCATTGGCAGTCGCACTTCTGCAAGCTACCCTCCCTATGTAGGCTTGTAGTGCGGTCCTTTTGGAGATACTTGCGAACCCACTTGAGGCTCAACAATCCGCTTAGCTGGTTGGTAATGCTGGTCATATTAGGAGGACGAAGAATATTCATATGCAATTAAGTAGCAAGCAGAAAGAGGACGACCAAGTTCTTCTAAGATAAACTGATCTGGTGAGTTATTTGCACGCGGACTGGGCAGATATATGTGTTTCTGACGGGTATCAAGAAGAACCCCTCTTCGAGAGTGAGCCATGGAAAGGGGTATTCTCACTTGAAGGGGCTGATACATCACAACCAACCCTCCTGTCTCAAAAGCAGATGTGGTCTAACTATTTGCTTCTCCGGGGGTTAGGTCCAGAATCTGGAGTTCCGTTTGCGGCCATTAACGTCGAAACCGACTCCCCGGAATCCCTTGTATCGTCATAGCTTGCACTTTTCTGCTGAATGTTTCAAGCCTCACATATATCAGTCAAGCCTCGCAGTTAAGGAATACCAATCATTCACATTTCCTTCGGCGTACTCAAGCATTACTGACCCGACACGTAGTCCAAAAGCCCACCGCTCATGTGATATATTGACTTATTTGCCGAAGACTGGCTTATGCAGTACTAAGATGGCATGATCTGCGTACGTCCAAGTTTGGTATTGGCCGCCATTCAGGAGGGGCTAGAGCAACCGTTATTTAGTTCACAGTTGGGTCGGCGCTCAGGGCCGGTCCGCACGGTCTGCACGGTCCTCGAGATCGGTTTTCGTTTTAGGGTGCATTTATCCTCAGACGTACATAGTGCTGTACTACTACGCCCAGGGTCCATGTGGCTACAGTTTATTATACTCCTGTAATGAAGGACATATTAAAGTCTATGTACAGGCAGCTTCAGAATTTGTAGTTTAGAATGGCATGAGGTGGACGGGATTAGCTAAACTTGCTCTCTTCCTCTGCGTTCGAACCTTCGGCTCCTTGTATTGCGAGTCGGGGCACGCCACGATGTTAACCCACTGACTAGCAAGGGTGTCTACACTTGGTCTAAGGCCAATTTGGGCCTAATTCGACCCAATCTGGCGAAAACCCCACCCTTGTAACAATGGTTTGTGGCGGAAATGATGATGGGATGATGACGGAAAAGAGGTCTGATCATAAATGATGGCAGGGCCCAGAATACGTGGGTCTCCCAATTGTATCTAGACCTGGCGTTGTGGCACTAGCAAGAGCCCTCTTTGTATCGCCGCGATAATGCCTTTATCTGTTATAATCTTAATTGGAGTTGGCACTGCAGACTAAAATGGAGGATTATGGTGGGCATACGAGCCAATGTCAGTTGTAATCGAGCAGAACCAGCAATCTGGGTTGGTAACGTGGAGAGCCCTGAGAAGCACGGCCCCTTGCGTACGGACCTTACACTTTTGGCTACAGTATGTGGTCAAGTGGCTTTCACGACATAAGACCATCTAAGTGTTTAAATGGCCTAGTCGGCAAATGCCGTTATGCGCCCCAATTGTATTATTATCTTCATGTAGCTCATGCGCAGTCTTAAAGCCGCAATGCAACCACACGAAGCGGGAAGGTCAAACTGTCACTTGGCTCAAGCTCATGGGATTTGAGAACTCGACCATTTCTGCATCCAACAACTAGTCAGGGGCTTCGATTTACTATCCCAACTGATAGTCAGCCATCCATTTTGTCAGAGTTATTTTCTTTCCCACTCTACTTCCCGATCCGGATCCATGCATGTGTGAGCATGTGTGCGTGCCTGCTCATCCCTTAATCCACTCACCTGCAGGCTGGTCACCTGGAAGTACAACGTAAAGAGCCAAGCGAGAGAAGAGAAAAATAAGAAGAGGAGAAAACTGACAACTGAGAGATTTTAGCGATGGTTTATTTCTCATGTATATTTTCCAAAAAGAGGCGAATATCATGATAGTGAAGTCGAGTGAACTTGCATTTCTTATTACTATAAACAATGACAAGTCGGCTTTGTATACTACCAGGATACCAGCGCACTACATAGTTGCCATGGTTGTTTATAGGTTATTTATTTGCCCCCTTGAGTTGCGTAGAAATAGTAGCGTTAGCAACCTATCTGGACGCATTCGTGTGATGCGCGAAAAGATGCTGCTTCTGCCATAAACTCGGCGACAGTGACGATCTATTTCTATTTGGAGTAAAACTTGCGAACGGCTTACGGATGATGCGTGCCGTTTTGACCAGGCAGGCGGGCGCTAACGCGGACACCATCAAGTAGTCAAAACCTTATGTTGAGCAAATCAGGGCCACGCTTCCTCGTAGGCTGGAAAGATACATGAGCCAGGGAGTTCTTCAAGCCAATTAATTGGTCTGTGTAACATGACAGAAACATGGTTCTTGGCATAATCAATTTCTAATTGGACGGAAGCCATCCGATTAATGTTGTCTCTTGAAGAATCACCCTACCGCGGAGTCAGCTCAGTTCTTCCCACCTGTCGAGGTAACTAGCGATGTACAGAGTACAGTATCTGAACCAACAGGGCATTGGCTGAGGGCATCAGTTGTGGCGCACGAATGTGAATGCAGCCTCAAAAATAATAAGGCTAGGGCCTATCCCACATACCCAGAGTGCAACGGTCGCCCCTAACCACTGCGCCAGAGGACAAAAGAGTGGGCTGATAATCGCTATTGTAGCAATTATAGTGGGGCCTACAGCTGCTTATAGGAGCTTACGGTGAACCTAGCCGTAACATAGAGAGGCTGTCAACGTATGCGAAATTGAGGAATATCGACAACTGGGAACAGTGGCAGGTTGTCGATCGATGGACGATTGTAGTTTTTGCTTCTGAGAAAAGAGGAAGGTCCAAAATAGCCTACCCTTCAAGACCCCTGACTAACTCCGGACGGCATTGCACAAGCCAATTTACCGATAGGTTGGTAACCCTTAAACCCTGGTTCATATATGCATGCCGATCATAGAGCCTCAAGTCTTATCCATTACGAGTTAGCTCTAAACATCTTCCGAAGCCAATAAACTTGGAGACATGTTGGGTTGGCTCAAGCTCCGTCAGAAAAAGGAGGAGGATCGGATGGAATTCGCAAGCTCGGCTTCCAAGATCTCTAGTAACAGTCCAGTATCGCCAGAATGCGATAATAGTTAATAGGTCACAGATGCTGCTATTTGCTGCCCTATCCCTTTAATTATATAGCAACGCCAGATAGGCCATACCTTCCTTTGTTATCTTACTTTCACATTATATAGTTAGCAAAAGGTGGCCTTGGCTAAGCCTTATTCCTTAATACGTATATTCATACAAAACGCTTTGATTTGCGCTCTGCAGAGCTGCAAGCCACGACGATGGCTTTGTTTATAATAAACCTGTCTGCTGCTCTGAGCCCCTTTATCTGGAGATCCACAACCCTGCCGATCGGAACGAAGGAGCCCCTGTAGCCCTCTTGCAGAACGGCTTTGTATTTGTGAACAGCCCCGTTTCGCCAGGACTCAGGGGGACGGCTCAGATGCCGCCATCTCCACGTCACGCCACCACTGCTGCAGGGATAAAAGGACCCAAGCGCACCTGGCCTGTTACGATCTCTGCGCTTACGTCACGTGTACCAGCCTTTCTTCTCGCCATCCCACCAACCAGGTCAGGACCGACACCTACAGGACCGACGACTTCTTTACATCTCGTAGCTCCAACCAAGCACGACCCTAGTATATAAACACAATTAGTTAAGCTTTTTATAGATAGGCCACTTTTCAAGATAAAGAGAAAATAAATACTATAATATATATAAGGGTCTTATTAAAGAGCTAGTAGTATTTATCAAAGATATATTAGCTTACTTATATTAATTAAGTAATTATTAATTTATTTTATATTTATTAAGTACTTATTAGTAATACTTATAAAGGATATTTATTATAAATAATATATAATTAAGTATTAAATAATACCCCTTAGTAGGGAGAATTATCTTTTAATATAGCTATAAGAATCTCTATATCTCATAGAGGTTTTACTAACCTTTATGTCTGAATAAGCGAGCAAGGTACCCACGTGTAGATTAAAACAAAGTGTTATTATCCACTTCTTGGCTCTTTCCAGGTGCACGAGATCATGAAGTCGAAAAGAGGTTCCAGAAGCCGTTACCGGGAATAGAACGGTCGCACCCATTGTCATCGCAGAGATATGTGGGTAGCCAAGAATATCTAAAATGTAGGGTAGGGTGCACTGTCTACATACATTACTATTACGGAGCCAATTCTGAGGCTCTTTGTGGGTTCATAACACGGTGCCCGCAGGCTGTTTGTGCTGGCGCATACTTGTCCACTTTCCAATTCCAACATAGCAGAGCCCTGCAATTGACCTACCGCAGCTACACATTACATTACATGACTGTCTTGTTAGTCTCGCAAGCGGCGCCGAGCTGCAGGGATCCTTTTCATCTGCTGACGTCTCCTCTCCCCGCACAAGTAACATCGCATAGATTTTGCTGCCCAAGTTGTCAGTCGTGACACTCCATCGGAGCAGAGGCCAGCGTTAATACCGTCCTATTGCACAATAAGGACAGGGTGCCCTATCAAAGCTGGCGCCTACCTTGTTTAAGAGAGCCAAATACCTGATCGAATCCAAAGCCAAAGGCCCCGGCAGGCTGCTCCTGAAGAACCTGCCTCGATCAGACCACTTCCGCGAGGGCCGTTCTGCTCCTTTTCTCCACATTGGCTCTCAAAATTATCGGCATTTATGGCGCGTCCAACCTCATTGTTATAGGTCCCTGTGACGGGGAGCACCGCACTACTTCTGCACCCTTTGCTAGCGTTAAGATCCGAGCGCCCTGGTACTTGGACTCACTTGAACGCATGTTCCTGCACCTTAGTTATCACCTGGCCTGGGAATGGGGTCCAGACGTCACTAGCTGCCCTCCGTTGTGGCAGATGTCAAGCTGAAGATATCCTGGTTTGGCAGCAAGATATTTTTGATATCGAAAGTCTTATTGGATCAAAATAGTCAAGTATTTTCCATTTGCCTTATAATCCTTTGAGGGATGTTGGAATGAACTTCCGTACGGATGTGTGACCGGACATACCCCGTTCGCCCTCATCTGTATCGCATCCCGTCGGGCTGTTGTAAGAGTCTCAGGCGCTTCGACTCTGCTTTCGCTATCCCTAGGGTAGTTGGATTTGTGCACCTCGTCAAACACTCTAAGAAAGAATTCCCAAGCCTTTGAGGGTTTTGTACTATTCGCCATTACTCGATGAGAGATTGAGTGATGAGCTATGAGAGGTGTCAGGTATTGGTAGATGTAGAAAATATTACCGAGGGCAGCTCACTACTGTATAAATAATCACAACTTGAGGCAACGTCGAGGTAAAAAAAGACAAACTTGAAAGTAAAGCTAGTTCGCTCGAAGGCTATTGCAATACAAAAGCTCAGTAATGTTGGCTTGTTATATACACTTTGTTTATTCAATACTCACTGCCAGAGCCTGTCCATAAGCAGGCTCTGCTGCTATATCACCCTCCTTCAGGGACCGCAGACTATGGGCCTGCATGTCCATGCAACTGCCTTGAGAATACCGTGGCCACCGTAATAGTTTAGCCGCAAGAACCCCATTTAAACTATTCCGCAGCCACATTGCGACCTTAAAGGGATGCTAAATATAGGGACGTGTATCTTTGCAGAGCCTGATACTGCCGTATCGCGTTTCTCACTATTAGAGTACCACTTATAATAGAACCTTATTTATAGAAAGGAACTAAGAGCTCTCGAGGCTTTTGCGCACTACGATGAGAGAGCTCTACAAGCCTTTCCATAGCCTGCAGACGGACAGTTTAGCTTTGCAGTCGGCCTTATATGGAACCGCATTTTCTTCTAGACCATGAGTAGCCCCTGCGACTGTGTCTCTGAGACTGCTCATAGGCGCTTGCCTTGGAATACCAGGTCGATGCGAAATAGAGCTTTGCCGGATTTCTGATGCTTGGTAAGCTCGGCGAAGTTGGTTTAATACGGTCAGAGCCATATTGCCGGTGTTAATATAATCAAATATCTAGAAACTATTATTACTTATCTTAGTATAGAATATAAGCTCTGCTTTATCCTTGACCTCCCCTAATATAATAATCTTAGATAAAAATCTGCCTGCTTCTTACTGCTAAGTATTTCCTTTGTAATAGAAGCGGTAACTTGGTGCTACTATGCTACCTGAAACTGGGGCACCTTGGCGTAGGTATAAGTCCTTCGGAGGCAGGACAAGACTATGTAGTCTTCCCAGATTTAATTCTTAGGCTTTAACCAGAGTTATAGCAAAAGTAGAGCACTGGGCTCACTCTGGCCCAGACTTGCATATTGTGATATCACACGCTAAAGTGATATTCATGTTTATATTTACATATTTGCAAAAGGTGTGCTAGAGTATCACCCTGGTATTATATACGATACAGCTCCAAACCATTTATCACACCTATCTGACGAAAACGTCTAGTAGGCCTCATTAAACATTCTCAATAAAGCCGTAAATACGCTGATGAAGACTACATCTCTATTGATTCTCCTACTTTCACTGAAAGTGGACGTTTTGCAATGTCATTGGCTCATCATGCTTGTGTTTTCCCTGCAATCCACTTTCACTTGGAGGAGCGCTCTCGAGAACGGACCTCGATCAGATCTCAAGCCAAAGTGAAGGTTCTGGCCTCTTGATGGGTTGACTTCTTTACTTCGTTCATTTCCAGTTTCGAGTTTTACCTGTATGAGCGATCTGAACGCTTCGATGGGCATATAATGTGTATCCTAGCTACCTATATTAAATAACATGGGCATAAAGCAGTTGGAGAGATCTATTATCGTCTTATTCTTTCATTATTTTTACATATTGATTTTGAAGTTGAGGGATCTAGTATCATTGTAAAAGGGCCATTCAGAATGACTTCAACCGGTTATATAGCGGTTGCTACAATGGGTGAGATGACCCTAGGTAAGGCAAAGATATAGGCTCTTCCTAGTCTTATATACTAAAAATCAATTGATAGATGAGTGATAACATGGCATGCCTGGACCGCCGGACCGATGTCTGGATTTCCAAACCAGCTGAGGCCGTGTCCTGTGACGGCACATGTAAAGTTGCCCGTAAGACACAAGGAACGGAAAGATGCCATCTTCCGCTCGGCATTGCCGATATTCATATCGAGACCGGGTGGAGACATCGTGGTTGTTGCTAGGTAAGAGAGGGGGTTGGAAGGGGTTGGATCCATCGAAGGAAGTAATTATAGGATGGATAATAGTATGTACTATAAATGAGAAGAAAAAAAATCAAGCATACTGTATAATAATAATTTGATAATGTACTCGATGAGTGTTATAACAAAGTGAGTATTATAGTATATCATATACCTTAAAATAGCCTACCCTGTAACACTCTAGTAGTTAAAGTTAAATAGCTAAATATCTAAAAAAAAGATCTTTTATTATTTTCCTTATATCTTAAAACCTTTATAGTTATATTATAAATTTAATTTCTTTAATAATTATATTAAATATTATAATAAAGAGTTTAATAGATCTTATAATATTATTTATTTAATTAAGTATTTATGAATAAAATTTAAATAAGTTTAGAGTTAAAGTGAAGTTGATAAAATATTTTAAAAAGTAACTATCAAGGTAGAAATCGGATAGGCACTGCAAGCAGGTCAGGCTCTATTGACAAGACATAGCTCTTTGAGCTATGTTCTGAGGATCCTCTGTCAAACATTACGTGCATTCGGTCCATTGATTCAGATTGGTGTATTAATGTCTTCTGTTCAATTCAGCCCCTTAGAGATTTACCGTTTCGGTTCTAATAAAGTATCCCTGCTTGCACGTGACACCAAGTGCCCGTTCAACACATGCTAGCTATTCGGAAATGCCATCATTCCTGGCGAATTTTGCCATCACAATGACAATGAAATCCGCTCGATGGCGTTGAGACATTAGTTATTCACATTTCCTTTCTTCAGATAAAATTGCAGGTTTGTCCATGCAGCATGGCTGCATTTCTCTGACATTGCCCTGTAAGCTGCTTCGTATCGATTAGAGAAAAGAAAGCGTGGCGCCGGACGCGGAAACTTGAGCCTTATGATATATTCTACAAATTTCGGAACCGTGCTTGATTGGTGCTGTTTGTTGCTTGGTCTCTCACGCCATCCTCACCACATGGCCAATTCCCCTTCTTCCAACGCCCTCCACCTAGCTCAAATTCTTGGATCCCCAGGTCACGCCTAAAGTTGACATGGGCGGTTGGGACGGCCAGCCTTACCGGAGCTGGCACCGATAGCATAAGCCTGAGACATACTTGAAATTTTCGTTGAGGCTTGCATGGTACTTAGGGACTGACCATAAGTTCTACAATCCCTGTGGCGATCCTAATGTAACGAGACCGGGAACTTCCGTGGTAGCGGGATATAAACAAGACCTCAGACCTAAACACTAAATTAAATGTATTATAATCAATTTTTGACTGGACCTAAATATATTTAGATAGTAGTAATAATTATATGTATTAAAAGAGATATTATAAAGACCTGGTGAAGAAACCAGTCGTATAAATCAAGACTGAGCGCCGGAGAAGTTGGATTCTCTCTACCAACATCACCAACCTCGTCATTACACTGTATGCGTCATTGTACGTGGCCCACACAACTGTCGCTTCCCCTCCAGCATCAAGATTTAAGGCATTGACCAAAAAAATATGGATACATCCAACAACAACCTCCAGGGTTCAGAAATAATCTCGAATGCATTTCAACTGTTTCCAATCCCTGTTTCTATTCCACCAACTTCCAGCCACTATCACAATCACAAACAATTACAAACACAGCCCTCCGTGGCTGATCCTTGTTGACGGCTTATGTGCGTGTTCGAAAAGAGACAGCCAGTTTCACCATACATCATAATTCGGTCCGTGCACTCAGAGTCGAAGGTGTGTGGATGGACGATCGACGTTGAGCGGCTCTGCATTAGTATTAGTACATGCTGATGTCTCTCATCCACCCTTAATTAACAGTATCGGAGATAGAACCTCGGTCCCCGTATACTGCGTTAGATCATCATGATGTGTTATTGGGGAGCTTTCGTTATTTTATTCTGATCGCCTCGCCCAGTCGCTTGATAATCTTGAATTCTCATGCAGACCACTGGGTTTTAGCCAGGCCAGTCACCAAGCCCACAGAAGCAATTACTACGAATCTAGCGAGTGACTGAGTCGATAACAACCCAAGTCCGGGTCATTGAACCCTCTCCTACGCACCTCCCCGCCCAAAGAAGAGCATCAGAAAGTTCCAAGTGGCGGAACAGCACAGTTCATAATACAAGAGCCATGGCCTTTGCAGATGTCGCAGAAGACGCTGACTACTTGAGGACGCCTTCATTCTTTGGATATAATGAGCTTGGAGTGGAGCAACCCTGCTTTGAACATGCACGGCAACATATACCAGGTGGCCTACTTCCATGGGATTGGGTTGCTTCCTCTTCTGGATTTGTCACCACGAACTCCACGGGCTTTCAAGGCTCGGATCTCTCAACGCCAGACTTCAGTCAGCCCAGGAATACTGAAATTCCTAACAGCCTCTTGAACCAAACTAGCTTTGGTAGTATGCAACCATCCTTCGCATCATATACAGCCCAGCAGTCTTCCGAGTTCGTTTATCCCATACAAGAGACTCCTATGGCCGAGAACATTACACCAAACTTTAGCCAAAGCTACAATGGCCAAGGAAATCTAGATTCCTTCAAACAGTCAGATCTAAACCGTGCTCACTCGGCGCTGGAGCCGAACAAGAAGGCAGCACGTGAGAGAAGGCCCAGACACAGACAGCCTCTTTGCGACACAAAGAGTCCACGAGAAAGGGAAACACAGTTAAATAATGCTGGGTATAGATGGCCTCTGAGCGCTCCGGAACGAAACCGACACGCTGCTGCCAAGTGCCGTGCTCGCAAGCAGAATCAAGAAAATGCTTTGGCCACTGAGGTGGAAATATTGGAAGGTCGGCATCAGCAACTCTCTTCTTGCTATAACGACCTCATTGAGCAAGTTTACCACCTCAAGTCAGAGATTTTGAGGCATAGCGACTGCAACTGCGCTCTTATTCAACAATATATTAGGAGTGAAGCACCCAAATCAGTGGATGTCCCGATGATGAAAACGTCTTCATCCAACGACACGGCCACCACAATCCCATGGGGTGATGCCCTTGGTGGCAACGATAATTCACAAGGAGGGTTAATGGAGCTAAACAGTCTAACACGGGGCTATACCATGTTCTCGGGCGTATCATGGCTTTGACATCATCCTTGTCCAAAACGCAAAGCAGAGCCTTGTGGTTTGTTAAACAGGGGATGCAGTATTTTTCTTGACGAAAAAAATTAAAGAGTGCATCTGTTGTCTTTGTCTAGGTAAGAAAACAGGAAGAAAAAAAAACACGTATTTGGAGCCATTTAGGCTTGGTCCTGTTTTCGGAGACAAGAATAAGAAACCTTGCAATACACGAAGACGGTACTACTGTTTCACATGCTTGCCTGACGACTTGAAGGCTTTCCGGATGTGGCTGGATGCAGAATTAGCGTGTAGTTGCCCCTCTGGTTTGACACTTTCTGCAAAACTGCGTCACTCTGTTCCCCGCATTCCGATCCAATGGCTGATGAGAACTTGTTACCATGTCACCATCATAAGCGCATTGGCAAAAGCCTCCTAAAGTGGGCAAAAGCGGGAGGATTCTGATCGCGGAGAAAACAAGGCTAACAAATCAACGCCAACTCACATGGTTGCACTGATGTTATGCCTCTCATGTGCTAATAGACACCATCACCTTCTCACTGATCATTATTAGTAAATAAAATAGGGAAAGATTAAATTACTATAATATGCTGATTAATATAGGAACTTTAGGTACTGCTATAAGTAACCTTCAGGGAAACACTTAAATATTATTGCATTGACGAGGATTTTATTATAGCTGCCTAATAATGGGCTCTTCTCCAATAGTTGCGACTGTGTTAACGGGGTTGTTTGCATCTTTATCAAGGGGCTCATGTCCGTTGTAGCAAACGAATCCTTTGCCGTCCAAGTCAGCGTTTTCTATGAGACCGATTTACCTATGGTATTCGCCTATTGCATTCGTCTATTGCCGGTTTAACATACCGTTCAGCCCCTGTTTTTCTGTTAACGCAATACAGCCCGGGCCTAAGAAGCAAGGGCTACTATTTGAATTTTGAAAATATGTATTTATTTATTTATTATATACCCCTGCAAGTAATAATACGCCAATAATAAAACAGGGATTGTACTGTAATCGTCTACGGCATCACATCACCGCTGTGCTTGCCGGTGTTTACTGCTCGACAACCAAGAACGCCCGCCAACTACCGGATCTCGTTACGGTTGGCATATGCCCTGACAATCTCCACAAGCCTCGTCACATGTTGAACGGACTGGGGTAGGTGATAGGGAGAATCGGCAAAATCCGAGGAGATACTCCCGCGTTTAAAAGTGGTTCGCTAATTAGCTTATCCATTAAGTACTACGTTGACGAGCAGCCATCCAAGCCACAACTAACCCACAGCCTGTAGCCACCAGTCAACGCCGCAAGCACGTGGAGTTTTGCCAGTGCCGCCCGCTGTATGGAGCCCTGTAGCCCCAATTAATCATTAACTGGGCACCTAACATCCCTGCCTTTCTATCATTGTTTTACGAACCGGAACCCAAAAGCATACCTGTATGTTATTCTCCAATGGTTATTTAAGTTTTATTGAGAAGAAGGAGGGGGAAATACGAGTGTACAATGGAATAGATATTGTTAGAACGCAAAGGATGGGGATGCAGCATCTCCTTGACGGAGGATTCTCGACCCTCAATGCTGTTGGTCTTGGCCACGTTTCACGAAGCAATACAAAGAGTCTAGCCAGAGAAGCCAAGGCGTTTGCTAGTTGAGCCGTTGCATGTCGGTAACTTTTAAAATTGAACGGCTGTGTCAGTTAGCCAGTGCCGACCTGTCATGGCATGTTAGCATGCGGTCTTGACCCGGATTGGTGAACCTTAATGTCGATCCTCATCAAACCTTTACTCCAGTGAATTGTGTGTTCAATGTACGGCCTTTTTCGGTTTGCGACTTAGGATGCATCTGGCATTAAACAATTCTCATTTTTACCTTATTGCCAAAGTACACAGCCGCATATGAAACCCTCACATCACGGAAGTTAAAAGTCTCTTTACTCGGTATTAATCCACTCCGGATGCTTTTGAATGTTGCCAAGGACTTTTGGTTTCCGTTACAGAGACTGAAAGGTGGGATTTCCCTGCCTGGGGAACTCGTGGATTCGGCTGCAGTATAACACCTCCCCACGCTATGCGAAATCCACACTTGACGACGTTTCCTGCGGCTTCTCACTTGAACCTGTTTTGGTCAGTCTATCGTGTGAAACCAACATGGGTCTGAGCGATTCGGAGCGCCGGTATACCCCTTTGAACTCCCAAATATTTACTTCGGCATCACGATAGGGTTTTTCATTATGACCTGCGCCAAAGCTGGGCAACAGTCATTTACCATTCACCAGAGAATAACAGGGCCATTCTTTATCCTCTACACTTGGATGTAAGCGTTCTTATTCCCTTGGCCAGTTCGAGGTTAATGATAAGCTCCTTACGAGTATGGACCCTACTCTCATACATTGGCACTTTCGTTCATTCGTTCATTCATTCATTCGTTCGTTTCGTTTAAAACGTTTATGTATATTAAATCGTTTAACTGATTAAAAGTATCCTAGAACTGTTTAAACGGTTAAATAATTTTTTAGCCCTGGCACTCGAAAAATCCTTTAAAATGTCAAGCACCGGAGGCCTTCGCTTAGGTCAAGGGCAAGGATCACAACCATTATGAATAGCTTTACGGTCAGCGTGAACGCTACGCCATACCTAGCGTCAGGTAGTAGCCTGCTGCCTGTAAGATCGGCAGACTAAATATAGGCATAAGAGACCGACTCTCGTTGCTCTTTAGATAGAAGAGAGAGTCCTCAATCTACACTGATCTTTTGTTCAATATCTGCATTCATGTATTGGTGCTAGGTCGACATAAAACTTATTGATATCAGGTCTCAATTCATGATACCACGTTCAAAGTCTCGCATTTTACCTACTAATATGTCATCTGACACATCATCTATTATTAGTGCTAGAGAAAACCCTCCAGATGTCAATGGATTGCCGTCAAACTTCCTCTCAATTATAGACATTACGTAGGACTATTCAAATACACGCGGACGCAAGACTGAAGGTAAAACCATCTATATTTGCACTATTTATAGAAATAAATAATATAATTATAAGGCAAATCCTGCTAATCACCTCGGAAATAACCACCTTATCGCATCCAGGTCTACCAGGTCTATATCAGACACCTAGCGCTCAATCTCTGCACATTTTCGCCTTATAGTAAGCGAGGATATACTTCGAAATACTTTTAACTAGCAAGCATATCAGGAAGCATTAATCAGCATACTTGTATGTCAGAGAGTGCCAAATAACTCCCTCTCGCTTATAACCCATATATTAAAGACTCCCTTATTGCCTTACGACATACGATGGTCCGATATATTGCAGCAAACCATGATTTTTACAGCAGCAAGATCAAGGACAGTCTCACCACCGCGTTAAGTCCGATTCATATCTCAACAGACCTCTGGACATCACTGCATTAACATTCTCTACTTGCTATATATGCACAATAGGTAGATAAAGACTAAAAGCTTTATAAGGCACTAATATCTCTACAGGAATATGCAGAGAGTCATTATAGAGAAGCTCAAGCGCAGGCTATTACTGATACTTTAGAGAAGTACAGGATACAGTCAAAGCTTGGTTAGCACACGGGTAATAACGCGACTTCAAATGACATATGTCTTAAGTCTATACAACGCAAGTTAATGAATAAACATAAGTTTGGTTAACTATGCAGTTTAGGCTATAAGCTGGCATTAAATAGATTAAATCTAATGCAAAAGGACATCGTATATGCTGTATCGCGCATATCATTAATCTATCCCTTCAAGCCTTCCTTCTCGCATCTTCTAAAGAGGCTCTAGTCGCAGAACTCGAGTCAGCATCTGGTATCACTGGAGAAGAGCTTCTCTCCTAGTTTTCCGAGGTCCTAGCCTCTCATCGAAAGAAGGCTGCAACCATACTAAATACAGCAAAGAGAAAGAACGGAGAGCCGGCCAGAAAGCGTAAGGGCAAGGGTAGCACGGCTAGTAATGCGTCTGTGATATTGACTGATGACTTTAGCGGCGTTAAGAATGTCCCTGCATTACGCGAGCTTCATGGATTAGCTGTACGGCTAAGTTCATCAAGCCTCCACCAGAATCTGTGGGATAAGGCAGTGGGACTATTAGGGATAGGTACTCGTACCTGCTGGTCGTCCTGGTATCAGGTTATTGATCTGCGATTATAAAAAAAGATATAATCTAGTCCTTTATGTCTGATCACGAAGAGGCCATCGGAGACAATCGGCTATTAGTTGGAGATTAGGAGTTGCTAGGCAAAGTACATACGTTTCTTCAGCCATTTGCTGTTGTTTACTTTGCTCAGTAGTGCTGGGTGAAAGTATATTTTATGAAACTTGGTTGTTCATTATCAGGCTAAGAGTTATTCTCAGATTTACATCTCTAGATGATTGTATCTAGGACTTTTAGATTTAAGGTCTGAATCCTAAAGAGAGGGGGATCCACGGATTTTCTAATATTTGATCGACTGTCCCAGACGACAAGATTATGGAATTTGCTAACGGGACCTGCTTTCGTCCACTTATCAAAGTCATCTGAATACAGGTCTTCAAGACGATTGCCATAGTTAACAAAAAGCACCGCTATGGCGATAAGGTGAAGGATATGGCCGAAGCAGCAGATCCTTCTGCTTGCTGGGTCCCACCACTGGAGCTTCCGCCCCAGCTCTTCGATGGACCGACCATAATTGGAAGCATTGTCCAGGACAAAGGATTCAATCTTGTTGTGAGAGATCAGATCTTATTTTTGTAGCGCCTCCATCGCCACTGCAGAGACGTTCTCGCCAGTGTGGGCTAGAGGGATGGTTGGAAGGCCCAAGAGAACTTTTCGAGGCCGAAAAGTGTCTTCATCAGGGAAAAAAGCGTTAACGGAGAAGAAGAAATGTCTATTTAAAGAAGTCCAGCCGTCAAATGCAATATAGACCTGGGCTAGGGCTCTGCAATAAGATTTCAATAATATGAGCTTTGTAAGTATGAAACTCGGTGATGATCCTTATCCGAATCATTTTACAAATAAGTTTTACTAAAGTCTCTTAAGCCAAAGGTTAAGGTAACTAAAGACCTTCCAGAGCCCCTCATGCTCAGAGACACAGAAAGAGAGCTTTGCATCTATGATCCACTGGACAAGCAGGCGCTAAAAAGTTAATTTATCAAAGCGAGCAGCTAGCCTATCATGGAAGTCGTCCTTCTTCTATTTCTTTGCAGCAAAGTCTTAAAGTATTGGTTAATTCAGAGGCCGCTCCAGTATAAATCGCTTAGCCTTTAAGGGATCCGGATTAAAAAGGTCATAGGCTTTGCTAAGGCGTTCCTCGATGTTACAGGTGTTAGAGGAGACATAAACCTCTTGCTTATGCACCTTCTGCTGGATATAGTGACAGCAGAGCCAACTGGACGTGTTCGAGACAATACATAAAGTCAGAAAAGCTACTAATATTCATCGGTACGTGCATCTTGGCGTCTACCTGCGAGACTATTCCTACGTCCTGTGGGGATGCCTTCTGGCAGAGAGACAAGTTTGTATCCCGCAATTGTTCCTTTATATGCCTACGGAATCTTCTTCGCTTCTTTTGGGGAAGCGCAGCGAATGCGTTGAGCGAGGACTAATCAGGTGCTTAGGTTGGTCAACTCGCGTTTAAGTCGTCAGAGTGAGAGTTAGCTCACGAAATGAATAGTATTTCTTAGTGAGTCGTCCCCTTCGAGTTCATTTTGATTCAAAGTCTGAAGATCCAACACTGGATAACCCACGGCAACACCTGGGTGTGGGCTCGGCTGCTTTGGTCAGAGTATGGCCAAAGGCAATGATCTAGACAACATTGCCTACATTGGTTTCGGTGCTGTAATCCCAAAGGGAATGTTTGCCATAGGAAACGGCGACTTGGGAGGGATGGGAAACGGGAAGGAAACCATATTGGCTGTCAATTGTCTAGCTAAGCCGTCAAGAATGATTTCTGAAGGAACGCTGAACTATAGAGATCAATGGCCTAATCTGGATGCTATTTATCTGCTACAGTACACAGATTCAAAATGATATACCTGTATATATGGATGGATACTATACCACCATGTTAGGACGTAGAGCAGTTCAAGTTGAGCTCGACGAGGGAGAAGTGTTCCACGTGCTTCTCTATCGGACAGAATCGGGCTGGAGTCAAGGTCCTTTTGGTCCTCTCGCACAACCTTTCATCTTTTTCCCCTATTGTTAGTAACAACCTTGAGCAGAACATGAACAGTTCCTACTCCGACTTCCCCTTCGAGGCCTCGACCTTCTCCACAACTCTCTCGTACCGCATGCGAGCGCTGTCGTCATCAAAATGTAGTTGGATCTGTGTCTTTTTCGTTCACACACTGAAACAAGCCCTATGACACACGATCCAAACACTATAATGCTTAGGTCTCTATTGGTTCTCAAGATGTGACATGGATCGAACCAGGATACACGTAGGTCAGCTTCCTTCTCAAAAGGTTCTTTGGTTGAATGATTCATCATCGAGCTAACAAGATAGCTTTTGAAGTACTTGCATGCACATCATGCTCCAGTTTCAGGTCCCTGTTCATTCAAGAATCAGAGTCGGCGAGCATTCAAGATGCTGTTGTCGCAGAACATAAACGATCTTACTTTTAGGCGTGTTGGGCATCCATATATGTCTCGGCAATACCTGGGGCATATGCACGGGATGCTTGAAAAGAGCAATGCGACATACCCTTGCTAATAGCCGCCCAAGCTGTAGATGAAGGTGGTAGTTTGTCTACCAGGACACATATGGACACCGCTTGGCCTTGCAGACCTTGCTCTAGTGACTTTTCAACGGTTGCTGTGGAGGATTCGTCTATCATGCAAAAGTCTCTCCAGTTGATGGGCATCTGGTAAGCCTCAGGCCATTCTCTTGCTTAGACAAAACTGATATTTTTCTGTGTCAGGGCTAGGGTCCAGGTCTTGGTTAGGCATAACCTGGCGAATCTGGACATTCCGGAGCTTAAGAATTGTCAGCCGCCACCAGTCGTGCCTACGGATCTCAGGACTCTGTTCCGTCTTTTGGCGGGAAAGTCGTCAAGGACGAATCGAAGCTCATGACCCTCCATTCTCTTTACTACCTCTACCGGATGGTCGTCACCACTCCTCTCGTATCTCTCTTGTCGCGACACCGTCTAACACTCCCTCGGTAGCCGACAACAGCCCGTCTAATGCAGCAACGGTTGCGCAGCATGCCTTGCAACTCTGCAGACTGACCTGAGAATACATTTCAAAAGCCTGTGATCTTTTCACGGTCACTCCATGAACAGCATTTGCCGGGTTCGTTGCCATGTCGTTGATTCTCATGCTGATCAAGTCTAGTAGACATCGATGTCGTGGCGCAGAGAACGAGTCTAGATGGACTCTTGTTCAAAATTCTCGTTATGTGCGGGATACTTGCCATCTACTAACCACTCTACAGACGTACTGGCATCCTTTTGGACCGATGATAAGCCATGGCGAACCCTAGATGGTAACATACCTAGAACACGGCTGACCACTAAAAAGAATAGGCCCAAGCCCTGGTTTAGAATGTTGAAGAGCTCCCAATCCTGCTTGGCACGTGCCAAGACTTGACATCTTCGGAAGAGCTAGAACGTATTGAGCTGACTCTAACCGGCTTCAACAGTCCAGCGCAGGACCAGGAAAGGATGATCTTAACCTATATAGACACTTCGAATCGGACAGAAGCCCCAGAAGATGGCACCCACCCGCGTCCAGCCACAACCACAGATGCTGCTGCACCAACTGCGACTTTATGCGCAGAAGACACTATTCACAATGGTGAGGCTACTGAGAATGATGTTACAATCTCATCATCGATGGGTTAGGCAGAGGAAAGCCGTCCAGAAACCTTAATTGAAACTTTCTGCGACATATTTAATTTTCAGAATATGGCAGATTGGGGCCTCGACTGCCTTGCACTCTACCCGCCACAGATTGCGTATCACCAGTGACAGGAAACAAAGGATAGAACAGGCAGGGGAGCTGGAAAAGGCGTCAGAATATTACCTTCGCGCCGCAAACGTCTGGTTCATTTCTCGATAGCCACACATACTCACCGATATCCAACGTAATGCCTGGGAGAGATCAAAGGTTTTAACTCTCAAGGGCCTACAACTGCGAGGCATACCGATGGAAGAGATACTTGTGCCCCATAAGCACGGCCTTGAAAGCGAGGGAAAACATGTTCCAATCTGGATTTCTCTGCCCAGCGGTGCTTCTAAGGAAAACCCGGTGCCTATCGTCTTTGGAATTGGAGGTTTGGACTCTTGGCGGCCAGAAATGGCTTGTTTTGCTGCTGCATATCACCAATGCGGGATCGGGATGTTACTGGTAGAGATTCCTGGTACCGGAGACTCTCCGGCTCTTATCGACGATCCTAAGAGCCCTGATCGTCAGTGGTCAAGTGTCCTGGACTGGGTCGACGAGAACGAGGCCATCGATAGTAAGAAGGTGGTAGGATGGGGCATCTCGACCGGAGGTTACTACGCCATTCAAGCCGCATATACACACCACAACAGATTCCTTAGTATAGTCTCTCATGGTGGTGCTTGCCATCACGTCTTTGACCCGGAATGGCTTGACGGAATCGAATATAGGGAATTTTCTCACAGGTGAGACATTCTACATTTGGAGGCATACTCTTGCTGACTCTAGTCTTAATAGCGCTGCTGAGGTGTTTGCTTGGAAATGGGGGTTTCAAGGGGACATGGAGAAGACTATCAGGGAGTCTAGCGGCAGGTTCTCCTTGCTGAAAGACGGAACGCTTGACAGATCAGACTGTTCTCGCTTATCACTAATTCAGGGCACGGAAGACACTGTCTTTCCAGTCGACCATACCTATCTTTGCTTAGAACATGGCCCTCCCAAAGACGTCAGGTGAGCTTAATACCAAGAACATTGTGTACAAGTCAATGCTTACCCTGAAGCAGGATCTTTAGAGGCAAAGGCCATATGGGGGGTAAGACGTCTTATCCCGCTAAATTATCATGGATCTTGAAACTCCTGGGAAACAGCGCCGATCCTTTAAATACTCTGAAGGCCATGGATTATAGGCCCATGCATTGAGCGTTCACTTGGCTATATGTAACTTGGCAGCGTCTTAAGTGGCAGTTAAAATAATGACAAAGCCATTAATCTTTGTGGAGAGGGGACCACATCGAAATTTGCTGCGTGAATCTCAAATTGTCCAACTGACACGTATTGTTTAATGCGTATTATCATCTTCGGAACAAAAATTGGCTATCACTGCCGGATTCTACCAATACCAGCACCAAACATGCATACAGTGGGTACAAGCTTTAGAGGTGTCATTTTAAAAAGGGCAATTCAGCCTTGTAAAAGTTTCCCTTCTGAGTAATGGATACCTCCAGCCGTGCCCCAGTCATTTTAGGTTATAAGGTTAACTTCAGGTTTCTGTACGATATGCAACGGTGGGCTTACTGGGGCCAAGGTTGGCACAACCATCCAGCTCTTCACGTCACCGTACCTACAAATGTTGGGCGTCTTATAGAACACTTTGTCTATGTATAGGATCTGCAACTTCTCTCATATCGGTTTTAGAAGTACCTGACAATACGATATAGGAATTTAAACTTATATATGCAGTAAGCTACACGGGCTTATGAAGGAGACTAATTATAAACTGGGTGATGGAGGTATGAGAATGTAAAATTCCTAGGCTATGGGCACGCCAGTGGTTTTTTATTGATGTATCACTATGAATTCCCGAGTAGACTATAACTCGAAGCCGCCATATGTATGGTGTTGCAGTGGAGATGCCTTCTAACTTAAGATTCGAAAGCTCAGGAATGGAACTCTTCCAGTGGCCAATGGCGCCATCTACGGTGGCATGAGGGACCCAGCAACTGGTGAATTTGACCCATGACTGTACAAGGGCAATAGGTTCGAGGAGCTGGAAGCTTCGAGTAGTTCCTGAGGCAGAGAGTTGATATGAAAATCACGAGATTTTATGATCAAAGAGATGAAATCGTGGCGGACAGCGGCTTCTTCAACCGGAAAAAAAGCCACCTCGGTGAGGCTTTCCGCCCCGCGCCGCGAATGGGTGTGAAAGCTGTGATCCTCAACGAGAGTCACAGTCATAAGCTATTCTGTAAGGTATATGGATTTGGCAAGGAAATCATATTTCAATAAATAAACACTGATTTATATGGCGTTTTGTTTTATTTTATTTTTCTTAAAAAAAGAATCTTTTATTTTCTAAAAAATTCACTATTTGGCGAACTTTCCGTACATCACTTCTATTAGGAAGATTGCTTGAAGTATGGGGAATGAGTGGCTTGTTGACCGGTGATCCTATTGGCACAAGCATTTCATGTTTGTTCATGGAGTAGGTTGCTGAATTTGGAACTGACTTCGATCAAGACTGGAGGTCAGAATGTCTCCAGGAGATGACTCAATGTGGAAAGGCGCCCATAAAGCTATTAATGGACAGGAGTTGACGTAAGTGGAAGACGGCGATACGGTTATTATGGAAGGTTGATCCAGCGCAGACGATGAGAAGATCGGTTTTGGACAGCTGCCTCCCCTAGTCAGGCCTGCAAAGGCTCTCTCTTAGGAAACTAGTCCGCGGATCAGAACTCCTGTAGATGGTTACAAGAGATACCTCATCTCACAACCTTGGGGTTGTACTCAAGAAAGAGATGCTTTTGTAGTGTCAGGAAATCAGATCTTACCGTGGTTTAGGTTGCCAAGTTGCTTTCATAAGGCAGCATGCTGCATTTATGCGATAAGATAAGACCAGCCACAAGCACATTTCAGCTTGTAAGACTCTTGAAGTTCTATTTTTTCCTAGTTGCCTATGCTGTTGAGCCAAATCCCTCCGTGAGCTTCCTCTCCTTTGAAGACAAGGTAGTATCAACATGATAACTGGCTGATCTATTCTAATGAGAACCAGGGACACCCATACCGTTCTGGTCCTCAGCCAACCGATTGCCAGCAATCTCAAGAGGCGATACATGAAACAGAACAAAAATGACCCTTGCCCATTGGTTCGTGTGTTTGATCCACTGATGCATGGTCCCCTATGGACGACAACATCCCCAGGCCGAGCCGTCTGAGTCTATGCAGAATTCAATACATATTCCGGATCGCCAGCAATTACAATGCCGTAATCCAGACTCTCGGTGCGGTGTATGGGCGAGTAGGCACCTGGGGGATATCTACATATCTCGGGATGCTGCCCCCGTGCTTAACTAAACCAGACTTTTATTTATTTTCATATGCTTCTTGGAAAGTGGAAAGGTCTTCGCCATGACTGAGAGTAATTGGAAAGTCTTGAGTGACGTATTCTAGCTCAAAAGCAGCGGACAGGTTGCCGTTTGTCTGGACTGTCCAAAAGTCAAGCGATTCAGGTAAGTCCTTGACGTGAACAGAAACTCCCTTATCATTGTGTGTTGTTGAATTTCGTTTTGGTGTTGGGAGTTGTCCGTTGCTATGGGTTTCGGAAAACATGGTAGGCAATGGCTTTTATTGGCTGAGGTTAAGAGGTTTCCTGGGCTTTTCTTGCAGGTCATTGGATTAATAATCTTATATCTTTATATCCACCAAAGAAAGGCCAAGCGCTCGAACATTTATGAATCGGCTTACAGACAACGTCTTATTTTATATTGTATAGTTTGATAGGTAGCTCGGGGCTGAGATGGGGATTCTTCGGACCGAGAGATATTAGGCCGTGGCCGAACCCCGCCCATGCGACTCTTGTGACGAGCTCTGATTCTCTGATGTGTCTTATTGGATGTGTATAAGTTCCTGCTTTTTTTTTTTTTCTTCCCCGTCCCTAGTCTTACATTTATCTTTATACTAAGGTCCGACTGGAGTATTACTGCTATTACGATCACACGCCCTATTATGTAAAATACACAATGTGACAACTCCGAATGCAGTGGCTTCCTTTTTGTTAGATTGGCGCCTGCGTGCGCATAGATGGTATTTTGGCCTTCGTTATAACAACGTGTGTGGCGTGTTGCTGTGAAAGCACCAAGACTCGACCAACGCCCCCGAACTCTGACGAGTGAAAATAGACAAGGCATCATCAAAATATCAATCAACAAGATCAAGAGTTTCTACTCGATAATCCATTGAATTCACCCCATTGTGAGCTCAATATACATGCCGTGTATCTAACAGTATTTATAGGCCCCCGGATATATTAGTACTAGGTGCCGGGGAAAACACCATAAAGGACAGAACATAGACAAAAGGAGGAGGATGAGCGCTAGGGGACTAGACCAGATTGATCCTCAACTGTGAAAACTAACCTATTTAATAGTACTTATTAGATATATAGCTATATAATTAGAGACATATCTTAAGAAAGCTAAGTATTATAATATTATTGATTATTAACTTAATTCTCTTTTGTTAGTTTACCAGAGCGAGGCATATTTAATTCCTCTTCCTTTTATAAATATACAGATAATGTTATCATAAAGAAAAGTAAAGCCTTTTCCTAGCTACGCCCCCTTTGCCTTTCATCTGGCCTGTTTGTCGTGAGCTTGCATCGCTGGCACCCCAAGCAAAAGAAAGCGGTTCATATAGAATCTTAGGTTTATCCACGGCTATACCATGAAACTTACAGTGTGCGGGTGAACCTTGTACTCCGGCTTCGATCTATAAGATTCTGATTTTGTACCGCAACGAGTCTAAATTTGGTGCTACAGCCTCGTGTCCCGCAGCTTTGTCAGCTGCGATATGCTAAGTCTCAATACCTACGAAATCCCTCTCTCGCTCTCGTTAGTGCCCGAGCGCCCGGCGTAGCCCACCAGATGTCAGTTTTAAGATCTTCAGGACATGAAAAGACATTCCAAGGAAAGCCTATGGTACGGAGGCTCTCGAAGATATGATGAAGTAGTTGCCAAAAAGGCAGATATGCCTTTACCAACCTGGAGGCTTCCGCTTTCAATAATGCAGAATTAGATGGATCCACCATCCATTTCACCGAAACTGCGAAATATTCCATAGCCTCCAATGAGAGTCACCGAGATCCACAAATAAAAACTGGATGATGAGCAAGGATGATTTCTTGTCGTATCCATATGCGAGTCCAGTACCATACGTCAAAAAGTGGTTGAGCGGGGCCTGTAGGAGATTCCCTTACAACTTCTTTAACTTCAAGAAGCCACGGAAACTGTTTAAGCCATGGTAAATTGGTGTATGCCCCATCGTAAATTATCTGGTAGAAGTATTCCCGGCACATTTGACTAAACTTGCGTACTCCTGTATGATAGCAAGGCCAGGAGAAAGCCAATAGGATATGAATATTCCCGAAAGGTGGCGTCGAGTTTGCTGGCCCGTTTGTGAAACTGATTGTGCCAAATTCGTAACTAAATCAAAGGCCCTCGATAGGGCCGATCGACAAAGCTCCAGCTCCGCGCCATGTGGCTCCTGCAGCACTCCGAATATCACCTTAGTCGTGTGGCGTTCACGACTGCATGGATCTCAACATCCCCGACAATGCCGGATATCACGGACGTTTCTTCAATGAACGGAAGATGCCTCTTGGCATCTACAACGTGAAATCTTTTCAATCAGCTCTGTAATTGTTCGAAACTATCGAGAAGTTCATGCTGATTTTCGTAGTAGACAACATCCACGCCACGAATACGTCGCTCATGCGCCGCAGCCTCAACGGCATCCATCGCGGCGTGTATTTAATCAATTGGTGATCCTAGCCAGCGCAGAACAATACCACTTTGCGAGTAGATATCCGTCATCATGGAAACTTGGTGGCCTTTCTCGGTACTGTCCGTTTGGTTGATGCACATGGCATCGACCCATGGTTTCATGGTGGTTGTGTTTTTTGATCTACTCGGATGATAGGGAGCATATCTCAAAGCCGATACCAGGTTTGTCGTCACCTGGATTCTATTCCCGTTGACCAGGATGGCCTCGGTGACAATGGGATCTCCCCAGACGTAGGATAGTGCATTGAATGACAATTCGTCCCTGAATTCCGCGCGACCTCTAGTCGTTAGACTCCCTGCACTGCTGGCGCCGCCTAAAATGGCGACATTTCCGCCCGATTTGGCTGTCCCAGTAGCGCTTTCTCGGTTTAAGGAGTAATTTTACTCCACGGAGTACTGCAAAGTTATATAATAACTGCATAGATGTCTTCCACTATTATGTGGAGCCTCTTCTCGCCTCGCAGCATCTATTTCGTACTATCTACGGATATAAGCACTTCATTGGGCTTGGACAAAGACTAAAACAATAGTCTGCCGCGTTAGTGAGAGTTATTGCCAATAGCCTCGCGTATACGCCCAATAAAGGATTTAGCCACTTATTACAGCGGATTTAATAGTCGAGACCATTTCCTAACTTTAATTAAGGTAAGGTATGGCTTTTTTCTTTCGGCTAAAACAAAATTAATCCCCTTTTAAATAGACCACCATGCACCATGGCGGTTGCACTTCTAGGTAACCCAGGCTCTCTCACGATGGTGCACTTTCGTTGTCTCGCGGTCGCAGTTGCGCTCTGCTACGAGGTCAACGCAGGTCCATGCCGCCCACGCAGCAGCAGCGGCATTGCGACGACATCCTCCACAGAACTCACAGATAATCCAGCCTCGTCGATAGTGCTGTCAGCAACAAGCAGCGATGCTTTAGGAGAAACAACGCTGTCGACAGTCCTCGGGATTTCCACGACAACGTCGCTCAGCACATCAATGGTTTTATCTCTCGATAGCGCTCTTAGTAGGCCAAGCGACACTACATTGGCATATGGTTCATCGGTGTCAACTGATCCATCCTCTCCGGCGTCAACCTCTGCTCTCTTTTCTTCTGTTGAAGAGGTGCCTTCCTCAGATACCTCTGCAACTAGCGCCGCTGCTATAACAACTGTATTATTAACCGAGACCGCCGTTAGCCTGACTTTATCGAATACTCCGGACTTTAAGCCATTGACTACGAGTGCAACAACTCTTGCGAGTTACAGTACATCAGATGGCACTTTCACAAGTGCAGAGACATATTCGCAGACCACAGAACAGACGTGGACGCCTACGTCCCACGCTGCTAGCCTGAGTGAAGATATATCATCTGTTGCAACGTCCAATCAAGCGTCAGCTGGCACGGAAACAAGCACTGCAGAAACCACCAGCTACGAGACGAGTACTGTTGGATCAAGCACTGGCATAGAAACACGCACCAAGACCATCAATATCGAAACGACCACCGCTGAAATGACCACCGCTCAGGAGAGCACCGCCTCGACAACGGAAGAGGCTCTAACTACAACTACAACGACCGCAGAACCAAACGAACCAACAAACTACTTTATCAACGGAGGCTTCGAAATCCCCGACGAAAGCGGCGAGTACACTGGTGCACCATCGCTGCTCGGTAGGAGCGTCACGATTAAAACAGATTCCTCAAAAGCTCTTTCTGGCAGCCATTACGCGTGCGTACTCACATCTCTCTATATATAATTTCAAAACTAACCCCATGCCTTACAGTGAAGTGGCTTTTCCCCTTGTCGGATCTGGGTCTGCCGCTTACGCCATCCGCCAATCTATCGCGGGCCTGGACCCAGCAAAGAGATATGCCTATACTTATAACTATGCGCCTGCGGACATGGTAGCCAGCGGTGCACCTCCTAATCCCATTATTAAATTCACCACGATGTTTGGCACCAAGGCGTACGAGACCGACTTTAGCGGCGAGGTAAGCCCTCAAGATAGCTACGTCAAGAGGAAGATCGTCTTCGATGGAATCACATCCAGCTTTGTGCAAACTCAAGTCCAATTTTCTGGCCTCAACAGAGGCTCCGTCCGCTTCGACGACATCAGCATCTTTGAGTATGACCCGCCGTGTACCCTCGTCAGCCCCGCCCCAAGCGACAAGTGGTGCAGTAGAAAGGGCAGCGTATACGGCGCAAGTAATCAACAGAAGACGATCGGGCTTACCCAATCCCTATCACTGGAGGACTGTGCGCAGAGTTGCCACCTGGAGCCAACCTGTCAGGTCATCTCATATGTCCCTACTGTCGGGAATAACATAGGACGGTGCTGGCGATATAAGGTTCCAAGGGAGGATATAGAGTATGTTCAAAATGGTGGTGGGCAGATTGCTTATGAGCCTGGGTGTTTTAGCTTTAAAGAATAAGTTAATAGTATACGGTGCTTAATTAGATTTCTTATAAACTAATATTAAGAGATTAATTAAATTCTCTTTCCTAGGTCTTGTATTAATTAGTTAAACTTTATTATTTTTTTAATTAGCCTTTTTAAAAAAGTTTATATATTATTACTAAGTAGTTTAACTTATGAGAAATTCTATTTAAAAATTTAAAAAAATATATAATTTACTTTAGTAATATAATCTTAAACTTATACTTAATAAGTATAATAAAAATATATTAGTAAATAAAGTAATTAAAGTTAATATTATAATGAAATATTAGCTTTTAACTATTAAAAACTAATAAAATTACTTTTCATTTTTTTCAAATTATAAAAAGCATAAATCTTTAATTACATAATAGATACTGAGGTAAAGAGCTTCTTAAAATTCTCTAAAAGAGTTTATGTAAGTAAGTAATATTATATGCAAAAGCAATAGTAGCAGGCCTCTGGCCCCTAATTATACACTGCATAGTCTTGATTGAAGCGAGTGTTTTGATAGTTAAGTAGGCAAGGTATTGAATCTAGCAATATGTCACGTGACATGGCTCAAGCGCTATTTCATTCGGCCAAAGTTTCATTTTCTATCTTCAATGTCTCTTACCTTCCTGAGAGGTGCAACAAGACTCTAATGGAAACAGAAAATCCTGTATCCAAGAAGAATAGTCGCGTGGCCGTCGGATGGTAAGTTCGCTATACGGGACCCCTAACCTCGGCTGATCTGGATAGTACTGCATGCAGAGGTAGGTGCCCAATTACGACTATATTGAGACGAATTGCTAAAGGGAGCAGTGCGCCATGTACGATGTGGGTACATATTGAAACTGTCTGTGTTGATCTAATTGATTCAAGGCGATAAAGAAATCCCATCATGCTCGGCATGCGCCAAGGCGGGCATAGACTGCGAGCGCGCTCTGCAAATCCGCTTCCGACCGGGCCTTGGCCTCTCAGCTGAATATACCTTCTCCTCTGATCAAACCTGGGTTCGACTGAGAAAATCATGTAGGCTGTGTAAAAGCTATCTAGGCACAAGGCTGACGACTTCAGTGGAATACGTCGACGAAACCGAACGAGTATCACAGGATTATGAGGATCGAGGGCAAGAAGAGTGAGCTGAACAGGTTTCTGGCCTTGAGTATGCTAACAGTTCCAGTATATCTCTGGTTGAACACTTGGCAGTCGCTCCTGATACCACAGAACTAGATCAACATGCGCCTGCACTTGCGCATATATCACCGGCCTCACATGTGTCTCAGAGTATAACGTCGTTGCCAGGAAACTCCCCAGCGAGTACGCAAATGACTCGTCACCTCCGCTACAGCTCTGAGCTCGTTCGTTCCCCAGACTCGCCGTATTCCCGTCCTCCGATGCAATTCACAACACGCGAGGCCGAGCTTATCAAGAACTTTACTGAAAACATGGCTTTATGGGCTGATGCAACAGATATGAATCGCCACTTTGAGTTGGAAGTTCCCCGCCGGTCGTTGTACTTCCCTGTGCTACGATACGCGGTTTTCGCCTTCTCTTCGCGTCATATCAATCGAGACAAGGCAGATACTTCGACTGAGGCACTGGAGTACTACAATTCTTGTCTAAGTGTCTTGATAGAAGCTGTTGATAAAGCGAGTGGACATATCGATGAGGAGACTCTTGCCGCTATTGCCATACTGCGGCAATACGAGGAGATGGACGGTAAGTCTGAAAACTTGTCACAATTCCGCATCGACATTGATGCTGACTTTCCTAGCGGAGGATATGGAAATGCACCTGACAGGAACATCCAGGATCGTCAACTCGATGTCAGAGTTTGACTTCAACGGCGGTCTTGGTGAGGCTGCAGCATGGCTCTGTCTCCGACAAGACATCTATGTCTCATTAACAAGACTACGGCCTCTGAGATCAAACCTTGAGAACTATCTCCAATCTGATATTTTTCGACGCACCGATGATGCAGCCTACGCAAACAGAATGGTCTACCTTCTCGCCCGATCTCTTGGCTCCATCTACCCATCCGACTCATCCATCTCTAACGAAAGCCTGGAGAGCATTCGACTGGATGTTGATGGTTGGTTTGAATCCAAGCCGGCTGTTTTCAATCCAATCCTAGAAAGCGGCAGAAATAAGGATGAAGGGAAATTGCTACCTACTATTTGGGTCCTTTCGCCTTTTCACTGTAAGTCTCACTGCTGGAGATCTGATTTATGCTGATCAATGCTATTAGCCGTTGGTTTGCAATACTACCATATTGCCAAGATTGTTCTGGTCATGTCTTTACCTATTACTACAGATTCAGTCTTTGAGCAGATCCGAGAGAGCAAGAAGGTTGAGGTCAGAATCCAATTACCCCCAATCCTTCAATGGGATCTAACTGACTGACATAGCGAACGATTCGAAACCATTTACTTCAGATAATAGCGTTAGCAAGCTCCCATGCAAAAGCCGAAAATGCGCTATTCACAGCTCGGCATTCATTATCAGTTTGTCTGTCGCACCTGTCGCCAAATGACAGTTCTCTCTTCTAACATTTTGCAGGGGGCAGCGTTTTTACCGAAAAGTTGGATCAGGATATGGTTCTCGACTTTTTACGACACATTCAACAAAAGACTGGCTGGCAAACAGATTCACTAAGTTTATCATTGCAGCAACAATGGACGCAAGACACCAATGAGGACTGATAGTCAACAATACCTAACACCTATTTGTATATTTTCTCCCAAATCTATAATGCATCACAGCTTAGGCTCCTCAATGCGGCGTCCAATCTCATCGAACCTGATTTGCTTTCCACTCACAAGAGCCTCCTGCAGAGCAGCACCAATCTCGACAGCTCTCACAGCGTTTGTCAGCTTGAGAGGTAGAGGCTTGTTGTCAAGGCAAGCCTCAGCAAACTCATTCGCCTCTTGCACAAAAGCCATCTCAAAACGTCCATAATAATGAGCAGGCACCTCGCGGGTGATACCGCCGGAGTGATAGTAGTTGACAAGGTTGGACTGGGGGTTTCCGTTGACAGTCAGCTTGCCCTCTGTTCCAATGACCTCTGTGGTGTCTTCTTGTCCGTGAGCCATCATCCGCGAGCAGTAGTAGTAGGCAATCTTGCCACCCCAAAACTCGACGATTCCGACGGCGTTATCATAGTCGTTGTACTTGCCCAGATCGGGCTGAACGGCACGGACACCGTGGGCAGAAACGCTTTTGGGAATGACTTCATCGCCAAAGAACCAGAGAGTCAGGTCGATATCGTGCACTGACATGTCAACGAAAACACCGCCAGACCAGGCAGCGTACTCGACGAAGAAGCCTGAGGGATCGTGCTTATCGCAGGTCTGACTGCGGATGATGGTAGGTCGGCCGATGGCACCCTGTTGGGTCTTGCTGAAGGCATCACGGTAGGAATCGTCGAACCGGCGGGAAAAACCGCACATGACCTTCAGGTGAGGTCGTTTCTTGGCTTCGGCAACAACTTGGCGACACTGGGGAGAAAGTTAGGCCATGTAGTATGCGTATCGACAGCAAGTATACTTACCACTTCAATGCTCGTAGATAGAGGCTTCTCACAGAGAACGTGTAGGTCCTTTTGCATGGCTTGGATAGCCTCTTCAGCGTGAACCGAGGTAGCTGTTCCAATGACAACAGCCTGCAGACCTTCTTGTTCAATCATCTTTTGATAATCATCGTAAAGCGTGACTCCATGAGGCTCAAGGTTGACCTTGGCCCAGGCCATCTCGGTGGGATCAGGGGTGAAGGCAGCGACGAGCTCTGCGCGGGGTGTTCGGTTGAGAAAGTTGATGGCATGACGCTTGCCCATGCGGCCGAGGCCAGCAGCAGCGATCTTGAGCTTCTGAGGTGCCATGGTGACTAGGAGAGTGTAGAGCACGAAGGTTGATGGTGGATGATTGGAAAGAGAGGAGGAGGCATTGAACTTACATTTATATTAATTCGTTGCCACCAGATGTTGTCTTGACACAGGTAAGTTGTCCAGATAATTCTCCATGACATCCCCGCATCTCCATCTTCTTGGTGGATCACATTGTGTCTGAACTCGGTATCTCTTTTCCTATGCTTCGCAGTTGGCTGGTTATCGTAGGTTTGAATGGTGGGCTGAGTGCGGACAGAGTTGCCCAGGATCAGCATCTACTTGCTTTTCTGGGCATCATTCACTCTGTACGAAAAAGCGGGTCGAATCTCGCGGAGAGACTAACCATTAGTGCGGATAGACTTGCCCAGTGTGGAACAACAAATGGACCAGGGGTTACGAGTCATGGCTTCATTGCCCAACAAAGTAATTACCTTGACAACGGATACACTTTCCATTCTCTTAAAATTCCCTCGACCACGGACTACCGGGCTTAATTCCCATCACGCTAATCTGGCTCGTCTACCTCAACCCCATGGGGAGAGGGGGATGCGATGGTTCTCCGCTTCTACCCCAGAATCAAGGTTTGGCCACGCTCTGATCCGAGAACCATTTCTATGCACGCTCATTGGTCAGACAGAGCATCAGCACTGGTCTAGACACAGATTGCTAGTCCTGGGTATCCCCGATAGACGAGGTCTATACCTCATCATAGCCACCCTCAGCTCCTTCACATAAGTATAAAAAGTCAGAGATCATCACTCTCACTCCCTCGTCCATCATCAGCACCGTCATATATGATCCATTTTAATTCCCCCTCAACACAAAATGGCAAAGAACGACGAAGTCTTGGAGTCATCCCAGACGCAAGTCAGCCACGTCGAAAATGACACCAAAGGAGGGCAGGACTTCATTGAAGACTCTGCTCCTGGCCTTTTCCTCAACCTCTGCGTTGTTGCAACCGCCATCGGTGGCATGCTGTTTGGCTATGACACTGGTGTCATCTCTGGTGTTCTCGTGGTTCTTGGAGATGACCTTGGCGGGCGTCTCCTAACCCCTAGCAACAAAGAGCTCATCACTGCTCTTTGCGCTGCTGGTGCGTTTATCGGAGCCATCATCGCGGGGATCACAGCCGACAAGTACGGACGAAAGCCTGCTATCTGGTTTGCCTCAGTGCTCTTCACTATCGGTGCTGTTGTGCAGGCTGCTTCATACTCGCTGGTCCAAATGTGTATTGGCCGAGTTCTTGTTGGTCTTGGTGTCGGTTCAGCCTCGATGGTATGTTGCTTTGGCCCCTGTGACAGACAAATTTATTGTTACTAATACGCGAGCCAGATTATCCCACTTTACATTGCAGAAATTGCACCAGCCAAGTACCGCGGCCGTATGATCTCGATCGACATGGTCTTCCTAGCGACCGGTTCCCTTCTCGCCTACGCTTTCGACGCAGCCTTCTACAAAGTTCCTCATGGCTGGCGATACATGGTTGGACTGGGAGGACTCCCGTCCATCCTCCTTGGAGTTCTTCTATTCTGGTGTCCCGAGTCACCTCGCCAGTTGTGCTTCCATAATCGATTGGACGAATGCCTTCGAGTCTTGCAACGGATGTACCCAACAGCCAACGAGACCCAAATCGCTCAGATGATGGCCGACATACAATACGGTGTCACACAGGCAAAGGCTCTCAACGAAGAGATTTCAGTTCGCCAATCTCTGAAGAGCCTTGTGACTGTTCCTGCCAATCGCAGAGCCGCCATTGTCGCGTGTGGTCTGATGGCTACGCAGCAACTCTGTGGCTTCAACACCATGATGTACTACTCAAGCACTCTCTTTCAGATCGTTGGATTCGACAATCCCATCGCTGTCGGGACTATTGTAACTGCCACTAACTGGATCTTTACTTTTGCTTCCATCTTCCTTATTGACAGAGTTGGTCGTCGCAGACTCTTGCTCTGGACCATGTGGGGAATGCCCGTCTTTCTCCTCCTGGCAGCTGGTGTATTCACCAAGATCCCCATCGATCGGCAGACTCTCGAGCTCACAGATGATAAGGTTGGATGGCCTGCCATTGTCGTTCTTGTCTCCATGATTCTCTTCGTCGCCAGCTACGCCGCTGGTCTTGGCTGTGTGCCCTGGCAAGCCAATGAATTCCTCCCCATGGAAGTCCGTGCGATGGGTACCATGATGATCAACATGTGCAACTGGGGTCCTAATATCATCGTCTCATCTACTTTCTTGTCAATGATGCGTGGAATCTCCCCCTCTGGCACCTTTGGCTTTTACGCTGCGCTGTCTTTCATTGGTTTTGTCTTTGTCTTCTTCTGCTACCCGGAAGCTGCAGGAATGACCTTGGAGGAGATCCGCGTTGTCTTTGAGCATGGATTCGGAGTTCGTTACGCTGAGGAATGGCGTAAGCAGAGGAAGTTGGGCAACCTCACTCATGGGGCAAATGAAACCGCTAAAGAGGTTGTCTGACCCTAGCGACCTCGAAATTGGGGGAGGGAATGGTAGCCACAAGAGTCTCAATACAGTACTTAGTTTCAGATTAGAGACTATCTAAACTACTCTTTTCACAAGTAACCTGATCAGCAGCCTTAAGCTTGTGAAGCCTGTACATAGAATGGCAATAGGCCTGGTCTAGTCTCAGATATCGTAAACCCAAGACCAGAGGTGATCAAGAAATGTCCAGCACAAGGACTGGTGATTCGAGTGGCAATGCTGGCTTTGTGTCGGATGCCTTGCTTCCTGGTTGAAGCATACTGACCCAGCCAGCATGGGGTAGCGCGAGTCTGCCCCAAAGGTTGCTTGGCTGCAGATCTACTAGCTTGAAGTGTTGGCTAGCCCCGGAGAGTTGTCCGTAATCTTCAATTTGTTGTGGATATTGGGAGTTGTCCGAGGCCCTGGTTATGGGAGCTAACCAGTCATACGGTCTAGTAATGCCGGTTCATCAATTCTCTGAGAGTTGACAGGTCTCAAGTAAGATGCTGCAGTCTCATATCTGGTGAAATTGATCTTATTAATCGAGAAGGCCTTTACTATCGTGCTATTTAAGTTTAACCCCCCGTTGCATCCCGCAATAGCTCCCCCCGGGTCAGTCCCCTCCCAATCCCGTTCTAATATGTTGTCTTAAAGATAGTAAGAATATTATCCAGTTCCCTGCAGCACATTCCTCCGATGACGAAATCCCTCTACCAGTTGCACGCGGTCTCACCGGTAGGATGTAGGACAACGCGAGACTTGACAAAACCGCAATCTCCCAGGTACTCAACCTTCATGTTATAGCATGTCTTGACGTTCTTATCCTTCCAAATGCGGTGGGCGCGGGTCTTGCCGGGGTCAACGCAAATTGTCTGAGGGCGACCACACGAGGTGAAGTCCAAGCAACCGCCAGCAACAGTGCCACCAAGGCTGCTGCCGACCTTGGTGCGCTGGCAGTTGTTGCAGTCGTTGACCCGGATGTCAGAGTTGGACGAGAAGATTGTCAGGGGCGGGTCGTTGGGGTTGGTGATGGGGACAGGCACGGCGGTGAAGGTGTACACCAGGTCGAATGCCGCATTGTAGTCAGGGCAAGTACCCTGATCACAAGGTCCAGCCAAGATTACCATGGAATCAGCAGGTCTCTTGGTGTTACCAGCTGAGGCGGTGTTGTTCCAGTTGGCTGGGTCCTTGAAGGCTTTCTTATCGATGCCGTCCCAGTCGATCTTGTCCTCAATGTTGAGAGGTGACCACGCAGTGGATTCAGCTTTAGGGGCTGATGCGACTGGAGTGGCCGTGACAACTGCGGCCATTGCCATGATGAGGAACTTGGTAGCGACCATGTTGATGACTTCGGGGGCAAGAAGCGTCACGGAATTGATTGTTAAGAAGATTTTGTGATGTATGGGAGAAGGTTGGCTTGATGTTCTGAAGCTATGGCTAAGCTATGGAAAGAGTAGTTCGAAGTGAGGAATAGCTTGCATCTTTATACTTGGAGTATGATCATGTTATTCTAAATCTCGTGAGCACAAGAGACTTCGATCGCCGAAGATTGATAAACTGGAGGAAGCATAGCGTGACTCCCTCGGCTACGTAGCGATTGGCTACCTCGCCATTCGCTTATTTTCCGGTCTGTGTAAGGATCAACTAATCCTATTCTTACCAATTACTGAGTGGGAACACTTGTCTTACTGACTTCCTTTCGGCGTAAAAATCTGTTAATAACTGTCGGTCTCAAAGGTACCACTCGCCAAGGTGGGGCCAACAAAAAGACCTTGCCAGGTACTAGCAACATACAGCTAAAATTCCCTCCAATCATAAAGGCCAGTTCCATTGGAATAGCTGTTAATTATAAGGGAAACATCCGTCTTACTGCATGAACGGCATCTATCCTTCTTAAGGTCATTTAAGAGATCCTGCATTGGGTAGTGTGATTAAGTTAGAATCGCCTATTTACCAGGGGTATTGCATGGGCCAGTCACCAGTTAAGTGGGAATTATTACTCAACAAAGGATCGGATTGTTACCTCGAAACTGGACCGAAATAGTTATCCGCGCTCTTATCTGCCGTTTGCTGATGGCCACCTGCCTAAGTGAATCTTAGCCTAGTTATCTGATCAGTCATTTGATTTATCCCGCAGCCATTCTCGGCATGTCAAAGTGAGAAGCATGCCTGTACATTCTATCTCGCCAATCCCATTTTAGCTACAAATACGAATCCCTGCAGAAGGATTGCTCGGAAGGAACTAATCGGGCCATGCCGGCCAATGACTGCAATTCGGGCCGTCGCCTGCAACATAGGGCACGCTGTCTGGCAGTTTGTGGACTGCTGATACCCTGTTCTTGTTTCTCATTACTTATTGGGTCAGTGATGTATTGTTCATTCAGATTTTGCGTAGTGGTCAAATCACAATATGAGGACAATTACCACGCAGCCTTTTTAACTCGACATGCCTCCTCAACCGCGCTGTCCTTTTTATAATTACATAAACACGTTATTAGAGTTAAACAAGATCGCATTGCATGCAAACACAGATCCGGAATGGCGGCAGTGATTAGAGGTAAGGGATCGATTTGAGGAGAGCAACCAGGTACAGAACTAATGTGACCAAGCGGCGCGGGCCGGGACGGACGGACGAACAGGCCAGCCTTGAAATTATGTAGTGGAGTTTGGCGGCATGGTGACATTTTATCGGGAAATCTATAGCCCGGATTGTCCATGCTTATCTTAGCGTGCTTTCCTTTATCTAAAGAGTCACCCAGATAAACAGATCTTGCTACAGCCATCTTATCTAATTGAGATGGGTTAAACCTCATTCTTATGCTCACTTCAAAGCAATTAACTGGCCACCTCAGATAACCCATGCAACCAAGAAGCAAACATATAGAAATGCCACTTATGCCTCCTTACAAATAGATTAGGCAGCAGCTCACCCTGTCCGAGATGAGGAAACGTAAGCCGTCGTCATGATACCCTAGAGCCAATCACTGGTCCATTTTCAAGCCCAGCTTGATTGCTTGAGGGTATGCATTATGCATTGCTGCCCAGTTACTCCCTCCAAATGAATTACTCTATAGATCAAAGAACTGTGTATTATGACGAGGCGCCTTGAAAATTGGGAAGAAATCATGTAATCTCACCAGAAAACAGCGAGTTCAGAACCTCTCGCAATTCTCGCGTACAACATCACAAGACTCCCCTGTGAAAGACAGATTTCTGTCTACAACACACTTTCCATTATCAGATAGAGGGAAATGTCCAGCAGACCACTCACCAATTCCAACTACTCCGACAATGGTGGGGAGCTGGAACAGTATATTGTCTCATTACGGCAAGCTGTTCATGGTCTGCCAGAAGGAAGTTCCGAACGATCTCGTCATCTTTACAAGGTCGCCAACCTCCTCCGTGAGCATTATATCGCTTCAAATGGAGAAAAAGGTCCTATAGAGGCTCTTTCTGTTGCTCGTGAAGCGGTAAAAGCCATTCCCGATGGCAGTCCGATGGCTGCAACATGTTTAAATAACCTAGGACGCCTGCTCCGTCACAAGTTCGTCTTCGAGAGAGACCCAAGAGACCTTGATGAGGCCGTTGAGGTTTTCAGGCGGTCTGTTGATGTATCGAAAGAAGATGACTCATCTTGGCCCCAATGGTTAACGGATCTCTGAGATTGCATCTACACTCGGTATGATGTTAAGGGATCACTGCCGGATCTGGAAGAGAGTATTGAATTGGCTAGAAGAGCACTTAAAGACACAACAGAGGATGACCCGGAAATTATAGACCTTGTGATCGATCTTATGGTCCGGCTTCGAAAAAGCGAGCGAACAGGCTCTGTCTCTGCTTCAGAAGAGGCTGTTGATATCGCCAAAGGCTGCTTGAATCATCCCCGAAGGAGCACTCATCCCGCAGCACATTACTGCACCTACTCGCCGGTAGTTTTTCAGATCGATATGTCCTTACCGGTACAATAGACGACCTCAATCAACAGATCGTGTTTTCTAGACAGGCTATTGATTCAACATCCATTGATGATCCAGAACGAGTATCGCGACTTGCTGGCTTAGCTGTCGGCCTCAGTGATAGGTACGTGAGAACAGGGGCATTAGGAGACCTTTCAGAAACTATCAGAATAGCGACAATGGCGTTTGAACAGACCCAAGAGGGTTCTGATGACTGGGCAACGCATGCTTGCAATCTCTCGGGATACCTCCTGACCTTGTACGAGAGAACTGGAGAACAACTGGATCTCGACACAGCAATTGCATTGGCTAAAGGTTCAGTGGACGCGACACCAACAGGCAATGCCCTGAGACACATACGTCTCGGAAACTTGTCAGCATGTTTGATTGCTCGTTTCGATAGCACAGGCGCCTTCGAGGATCTAGAGGAATGTGTCAAGATGGGCAACGAGGCTAAGGAAGCTACCCCCAAAGAACACGTCGAATGGCCAGCGCGACTGCACGACTTGGGGGCCATTCTGCAAAGAAGATACCAGATGACGCAAGATCTCGAAGATCTCGATGAGGCTATTGGCTTGACCCAGCAGGCACTGTTTGCCCTGGGGCCAAGCCACCCACAACAGGCCGATACCATGTCTCTGATCGCATTGTTCTTTGCAAAGAGATACGGGGAGACAGAGTCACCTGAAGATCTCCAGCGAACAGAGTTCTTCTACAGAGCTGCGGTGTTTCAGACGCAATCGCTAGTGGTGACACGCATAGAGGCTGGTGTGAAACTAATCTCAGTATGCATGGTCCAGCAAAACATGGAACAAGCTTACGAGGACGCCAAGTACGTGGTGGATCTCATTCCGCAAATGGCTGTGCGATCACTCGAGAGTTCCGACAAACAGGATCTTTTACTTAAAATAGGTGGGATATCATCTGAGACGGCTGGTCTAGCACTCCATCTTGGCGAAGATCCATCGGTGGCATTGAGTCTTTTAGAGAAGGGTCGCGGCATGTTTGCTTTGTCTTTGGATGAGATGCGTGCCGATATCAAGTCCTTGGAAGAGCAGTGCCCTGATCTAGCAAGCAAGTTCATTACTCTGCGTGAACAGCTATCTTCCCCTTCTACTTCTAGAAGGACATTGGATACCGAGGATCCTGAATGGAATGTTGACGAGAGTCGGCGTCACGAGGCAGGCGACGAGTTTGAAAGCTTGCTTGCGGGGATTCGCCAGCAATCAGGCTTTGAGACCTTTCTATTACCTCCCTCGGAATCCGAGATCAAATTAGCAGCAGACAGTGGTTCTATCATCATAATCAACACCAGCATGCTGCGTTGCGATGCGATTTTGGTTGAGAGTCATCAGATCACATCTGTGCCTCTGACTGACTTCAACCGCCGTGAGATGATTGAATATGTCAAAAACGGCACATTCAGAAGTGATGAGGCCCTTGAATGGCTGTGGGACTGCGTCGCAAGTCCTGTATTGAACGCGTTGGGATTTGACAAACCCCCTTCTGAGAGAGACTGGCCTCATGTTTGGTGGATCATGACAGGACTTCTGAATAAGTTCCCCATTCACGCTGCTGGGTATCACTTAAAAGGCTCCTCCGAAACGGTCATTGATAGAGTCATCTCGTCATATCATAGCTCCATACGGTCAATCATACACGGCAGGAAGAGACCTATATCCGCTGCGACCCAGACAAATGCACTGCTCGTCGCAATGGAAGCCACCCCTGGTAGCTCAAAACTGCCCTTCGCAACCAGAGAAATAGCAGCTATCCGTGGCATATGCAAGTTAATGTTGGTCGAGCCAAATGAGCCTGAATTAAAGAGGGATAATATTCTGTCAAGCTTGCTTGAATGCGGGATATTTTACTTCGCAGGCCATGCCCGTACAGATCCCGAGGATCCAATCGGAAGCTATCTCTGTCTAGACAAAGAAAGAGAGAAGTGCTTGACCGTGTTGGACCTATTAGACATAAACCTACAGAGTAACTCCCCTTTTCTTGCCTATCTCTCCGCCTGTGGCACTGGCCGCATCGATCATAATGACCCGGCGGACGAAGGAATCCACCTCATAAATGGGTTTCACACAGCTGGTTTTCGCCATGTCATCGGGACTTTATGGGAGGTCAAAGATGAGATCTGTGTAGATATGGCTAGGATTACATATGAAGGAATGATGCAGAATGGCATGACGGATGAAGCAGTCTCTCGTGGACTCCATGAAGCTTCCAGAGAGCTTCGAGATCGTTGTTTGACAATGGCCAGGACTGATCACCGGACAATTGGAAGTTTACAGGTAGGAGCAGGTGAAAATAAGAGAGGCGATGGAGAGGAACTTGAAGGGAGAGGTCTTGGCGGGTTCTCGAGGGATATTGTAACTTGCGACGAGGAGCCTGTTAATCCGCCATGGATTCCCTATATTCACTATGGGATTTGATGTTTATTTATCTCGATGTATTCATAAATCGACATTTGACCACTCAAAATTATCCCTCACTCAATTCTATGGATATAAGATCAATGGATGATTTCAATAGTTATTAACTGCACTTTTCTTGCCCGCAGGCCAGACTACAATATCTACCCCGTACCAAGTCTCATGAGATAACAGATTCTTACTGCCGCGCATGAGCTGAGCTGAAATAACAATTATTATCATTGGGTTAGGACTCCGTATGAACGGTGAATGCCGACACGAACAGGGTCCAATCAATTCCAATGGATCAGATGAGGTTGCTATCACGCAACAGCTAACCGCCGTGGCTACGATGCGCCTCTTCTAAACCTATAGGCCTGATAGTGATGCCGTAATGGCTGGCGTGACTCCTTTATTATTCGTAACCGTGATGTCAGCCTTATCCTTGAGAAGCAGCTTAGCTACCTCGATGTGTCTATTAAATAATAGTATTACAGTATTTATGCGCATTCTTATTAAAATAAAGATAGCAAGTAAGATTAGTATTAGAAGGGAAAATAAGGGGAAAGAATTAACGGCTACATCTTGGATCTGTGACTGAAAAATGGTGCAACTAATAATATTTCCTCCTCGCGTATTATTGTTAATCAGCTTAGATTAGGCTGGGAAAGCGCGTAATGGTCGATAATGTAGGAGAAATGGTCTAGTTTACGTCGCGTCTATTCCCAAGAAGGGATGAGTCATTTGTGGTAGATGGATGAAAACAGATTGGATATTTAGAAGACAATATTTCTGTCGACTGCGATATGGCCATAGTCCAAAGAGCACCTTATCCTATTCCAAAGTGACACAGCCCTCATACCTCCGGAAACATATCATTTTCCTGTACCCGTAAGCAACTCGGCAATCTGCTCTCCCGTCAGATCATCAAAGTCAGCCCTCCAAATTCCACGAGCGGCTAGACCTTTGTTGGTCCAGTCAGCGCAAATCTTCTCTTGCTCTTCGGGATCGTCTTGTGTTCCAAGAAAGACCAGCCTGCGACATGCACGCCGATAAGCGGAGACGGATGTCTTTGGGATACCGAATTTGGACGTGAACTGCTCGACTATACCGTTCGGCGTGGCATATTTGAGTTCGCGGTAATCGCTGTAACCGGCTCGCATGAGGAGAGAAGCTGTTTTGGGGGTGATGGTCAGCTTTTGTTGCAGTAGTGCCTGAGCTGTAGGCATTGTGCCGTCGTGAATGCTGGGCCGAGTGCTATGCGAGATGGGTCCAGGGAAGGAGCACTATGCCGCAGAAGCAGGTCAAATGTAACAATAATGGAATGGGCTGATGGGATCGCGTATCTAGAGTCTGAAGAGCGTGTACGGAGCGACAATCTAGGTTTCAGAGGGCTCAAAGACTGTAATTAAAGGTGAAGAATTATTCACGGTCAGATATTGTCTCATGTATAGACTTTTGATCAGCAGACTCACGCTAAAAGCGCCACAGTTTAATCGCAAATGCGTTATTGAGCACGGTGGGCAACATGGAGCGTTTATGGCAATAAGTGGGGGGGGAATGGAACAGCCTGGCCCATTTTGGCCATAGCTGAGCACAGGGGTTAGATTGGGTAAAGGGAACCTGTTTAGAGCCTCCTATATGGCGATAGAGACAGGAGCAGGCTCTGTTGTTGACAATAGTATAGCCAGTGCAACGGTGATGCCAAATGATAAGAGCTGCTTATTAGTCTGGTTTATTTCCCCGTCAAACTACTACAGCAGCCACCTCGTGTCAGCTGGGATATCGCGAGGCCCTTGCGGTTGCCAACCCTCATTCGCCTGCCAAAGATGCCTGCACTTAAGCCACCAGAATAAGGCGACAATAAATGGAATTGTTGGAACCGATCCCCCAATAACAGCCGCAGCGGCCCAGTATTGAAGGACATTGAAGTGATCCCGATAAAACGCAGGGCCCTCGAAATCGAGGTAACCCCCAAGCAAAGGCGCGTTTAGAGCGCTTGACTTGCAGTAGCAATTACTAGCCACGCCAGTCACCTGTTAGTCACTCGAGATTAGCACAACACAGCGAATAGAAAGCAGCTTGTTCTGAAACTAGAGCATGGCTGATGTTTCAGATGAAGTCTTACCTGGAATACGATCACAACAAGTAGGGTCAGAATGGCTAGAGTGTTGGAGATGTATGACACCCAAAGTGCCCACTGCGGCGGACGCTTGGAAAACTGGATCACCCAAGACACAGAGCTGAAGGCGCCGAAGAGGAGATACGTGAGTGATCGGCAACCCAGGCCTATGGTCGGGGCTGTGAAAGATACGACAAAGGCGCTCATAATCGCGCACCATACCAAGAGGAAAGAGAGCACCGCCACAACATACCATGCTTTAGGCTTCCATCCCTTTAGCCTATTGGCCGCTTTTTTTGCACATCGCGAAAGATTTGTTTCGGTGTGGAAGTCAACAGTCGTGGAGGCCTCGAGTAATGCATGAGGTAGTCCGCAAAACTGAATTTTTCTGCCCTGTCCAATGAAGACGTCGATTTTCAGAGCTTGAGGAATTTTAGTGTTATCTTGCCACCACCCAATGCTGTTAGGATCGTTTCCAGGCTCAGATGTCCAGGTCTTAACGGCCTCGACATTGTAGAGCCAGCGGGAGATCAGTTCACTGTTGTAATCAGCACCCTCAGGCATTTTATCTAAAAAGGGCTAAGCTGAGTAATGTAAGCACTCACCTAACACGCTCCGAGGAGACAGGATTCCGGTCGATGATCGTAAAAACCACCAAGAGCGGAAGCCAGGTCATCAAAAGCCCGAAAGCCAATGAGAACGGAGTATTGTTATCCCCAAGCTCTGCGAAGGCCAGAACGACAGAGAAGATAAACGCGACGAGAAATGTGCCTAAATTAGCGAGCATAGGAATAACTCCGCGTCGACGTAACATACGCAGCTGAAATGCGAGTGTAACCAAGAGCTGACGAGTGAGGTCAACATCGGGACTTTGATCATCAGACAACGGCCGAAACAGGCCATATACTAGGATTTTTAGCATGCGTGCTGGGTTACCGTTATTATCTACAAGAACCAACCCGTCGTACTGATTCATACAGCACATCACAAAGTAGGCCGCGCTGTATAGGTGTGTCTGGGCGGCATTGACCCGCCTTTGGACCCGCCGATGGGACTCGCGTAATTGGCGGAAGTTGAAGATAGTTGCTGTTAGGGCTGTTTGAGGAGAGCCCAGCCAGTTGAGAACTGCTACCAGCGTCTTGGATATCTTCCTTTCATGAAGGGACTCATACGGGAGGTTAAGCAGAATAGCTAACGGGAATATCCAGTTAGCCGCAAGGCTTAGTGCTTCGGGTGCGTCGTAGGTGGCGACTGGATTGCCGCAGATTGCTTCGCAGCCTGGTGACACACAGAGTGGGTTAGATTCGGGAACATTACGTGGTCTAGAGGGGAGACTGTGAAAGAATACCATCGTATGTGACTGCGAGATACTTGTCTCTGGGGAAGTTCCGATCAAGCCCAGTTACTGGACCATGGTAAAGAAACTCGTTGAGAGTTTCGTTATTGATAGAGCCCAGGGTAAGCTCCCCGGCTTGGATTTGCAACACCTTTTGCTGGCAGTCAGACCATTTATACGTAGCCAGAACCACGGGTACCGGTGAGACAAGAAAGATGATACGTGGAACGTGTATGAATCTCATGATGCAAAGAGAGGTTGTTAACGAGGACTGATGATGAAGATACTGGCAGAGGATATATTGCCAAGACCATTTAAGGGACAACGACCTCCCTTATATATTCTTGGCGCCAGGAATACAGCTTCGTTCTTAATGTAAATTCTAAGTAACTTCCCATTTGGTCATTCTGCAGGTTTATGCGGCCAAGGTCACTAATGGTACAGCTGGTTGTATCGTCCATCTGGGGCTGAAATATCACTCGCGTGACAGCGCCACTAGGCGTCAATAGCAATTTTGCTCTGCATATGACTGACCGCTCATTGTGTGGCGCTTGGGGGGAAATGACGGAGAAATTATTACAGCTCTTCTATAACTGGGAGCAAGTGATGTTGGGTTTCGTTGTTTGAGGCGCAGGTAAGGCAGTCCGCTGGATGTAGCTGAGGTGTGTGGCTACGCCGAGCGTCACCTATGCGTAAAGAGGGTTATCAATCCCTGTCACGTTCTATGAATGGATTGGAATGGGAAAAATGGAACGAGGCAACGGAAAATACGGGACGGCAATGAATGGATGAGAATCATCGGAACGACGAGTGTGGTTTGTAGCTATCGAATTACGTTTCCTCTTTTGGTTGTTTTGGTTGAACAACTCATCTGGCGCGAGCAGGATGCGGCCCAGACCGGAGCAACTTCCAGCAACTCAAATTATTCAAGAGCAGCCAGCCTTAATGATTAGAAAATCTTCGAGCCCTAAGGGAATGTGGCCTCGCCCGGGGCTCCTCTGAAGGCTTAGGACCGGGTTACAAACTCAATAACTTAAGGTAAAGGGTAATGTCTCGACAGATTGTCGACTTTACAGAGCAAGACCAGGAAGAGTTATCCGGAAAATATAGATGTAATGGTTCGGGATGACCTGTTGTACCGACCCCCTCTTTTACCTCGACAAATTCACACAAACAGACCTGTGCACATGTTCAGCGAGGCGTCGAGGCAGATGGAGGGCAATATTGCAAATGGGACGTCTACTATGCAACGTATATGACAGCCACAACAGAGGATACACAGAAAGTGTCAGCGCGGGAGCGCTAGACCAGGCTGTGGATAATAGCAGTGCCTAAACTACATATCCTAGGCACTTGCTCCTTTCAGGCGCTGTTATCGGTCTACTGAACATGTGCTCCGGCCGGTTCGAATTAGCATATGCTTAGCCTTAGTTCCAGGGTAGAGAATAAATAACCATAAACAACTCGTCATTATTGGACGCCATAGTTTTGACCCCCCTCCCCCGGATAAGATCCATAAGTTTGAGGGAACTTGAGACATTCTCTTTATAGTTATACGGTCTTCATTCCCTAAACCTAAGATTGGATAAAGGCCCCGAAAACCCCGCGTGGCTGCGCGGTTTTGTCCGTGTAGGTGATTTAAAGGCGGCCTGATTCTGGACATTCTACTCCATAAGCCTCAATGCACAGCTCTTTCGATATCTGAGAAATCCCTTGGGTGGTTCATCCCCCAGTTCCAGTCCACTCCATCGAGGCACCTGCCCAACCTCATTCAGGCTTAGAGTCGTTCAATGGCTCGGGGGTTTCATACCGCGTTGCGCACCTAATTGACTTTCAGGTTGTCTTTGAGACGGCTGTTTATCAGTACGAATATCTTGCTCGTCATAAACCACAATCGTATCGCCTTGGGCCTCCCTACAATGATTCCTGCGAGGTTTATGACGATATATATAAGCTGGCCTATCCTATTGATGTTTAAACTAATTGAGACTCTGGAGATGCTTGGATATCCCTTTTAAGGTAAGTTGCAAATTACAAAAACATAAACTGGCCTATGCATGCATAATGCCCCAGAGGGCGGCTAATAGGCGGACAGCACTATTAGAAGGCTAAGATAGAAGTGGAAAAGCTTACAAGGGGCTGTCTCGGTATTTCCCAACTATCTCCGCGGAAATGCTCAACAACACAGTTGGAAGCCTTAGCAATGTCTGCAACGTAACATGCGTGCTGACCCATCCTTGCAATGGGCAGACTATCAGGCAGACTATTAGACATTACTTGTATCGGTCTATCAATGCAGATTTTCATGCTTATTCACGTTGTGTTCTGTAGTACTTCTGCCCTTAAAGGCTTTACTGTTTCCATGTGCAACTATAGAAGGTCCCTTCTAGTACGTGAAACCTCAGCAAATGCCTAATGTTCAACAAATGCTGGCAGCGGCTATACAGCGTGGCCACCAGTCTGGTGACCGCCCTCCCCGACTCCCCGGCTCCCCACTCTTATCGGCGGCCCGTATTAAACCTCTGTACCAGCCCTGTAGGTACGCTACTTCGACAACAATTGATTCTAATGTAATACTTAAGAGCCGTACCTGGGCGGCAAAAAGGATTCCTAGGCAATATGACATATCCATGCAGGAGGGAGTTATCTGACCAATCACAAATGTGCTCAAGGTAGGTCATACGTGTGTATGCATAACGTAAATTATTGATCACCCTTTCGCCACAACTGAAGATGGCGGGATCGCGACCAAGTAATATTGTAACTGGAAGATAGTCTCCGTTTCGTCGGGCGTTAAAGCGACGAGGTTGGTACATATCATGTGGTCCACCCACAGAGTTAGAGTGGGGTAGAGGTGAATATATGAGATAACAACACTAATACTATTAGGAAATAGCATGGGGAGTTGACAACAGGATGCCCCATGAGGCAGAATTGAGTAAGCCGCCTCACCAGCCGCTGCTCCCAATGAAAGAAACGCAAACGAACCACTAAAGAGAAATTCTTTCTGCCCTGTAAGCCTCGTTGTATGTGTCAAAAAAGCCCAGCCCAGCCGCAAATGCCAATAATGAACGCCATGTGCTGCAGGGTTATGATTAGCATAGTTCCAGGTAGATCGATCCAGCAGCAAGCCGAACCTACCAACACGAAAGAGGCCGATTCCTCTGGTCTAAGGACTTTAAAACGCAAATAGAACCCGGTTTTCTGACAGAGTGATAATTACTAAAGATGTATATAGCAGAGTATAAGGCGACTGAATCGTTTAGGTTCATAGCCACAAGTATTGAATTCATTGGGTTCCGCTAGAAGACATTCTGAAGCCAATATAGCGAGGAGTCTCAGCTTGGCTTGATTCGAGCGGGTTTTAATTAAATACCGAACTGGGGTATTTTAATAATACATGGTGATGTGTTGGATTGTCTCAGTGTCATACGATGACTAGCTTCCTCGTGCTATACTACGACGCCACAGCATTATCGGTCATCTTTCTCTTCCCAACACTCGGTCAAGTGCCATCAAATTAAGAGCTGGCAGCCATAGGTCCTTCGGCTATTAAACCTACCCAATCACTATCTGTGCCAATGCTCAGCCATCATCCTCTTATGGGTTCCCTGACATATTCCGGTATTATATATACTAGCCTGTGGAACACGCTTTTTCAACAAAACAAAACCTTTAAAATACAGATCAATATTTGAATTGGATTTCAGAGTTCAAAATGGTTGCCATCGCCAGCGGGCTGTGGTGGGACCACTCAAAAACAACAATCTTGGTCGCCACTCTGACCTTGCCACTTAACTACAGCAACCTCTTCCTCTCAGGCCTGACCATCCTCGTTACCATCGCTGGATCAAGTTTCTGGAACATCTTTGCTTTCTTTCTTCACAATTGGAAAGCGAAGAGCGAAGATCCTAGTGCTCTCGACCTTCAGCAACAGGTCAGTCTGCGGAACTCTGCAGGTGCTACTCAGACACTGTGGGAGGCTTTCAAGATCCATAAAGCGTGGTCAAAGAAGTTCAAAAAGCCAATCGTGAAGCAGACATGTTCTGTGGCAATACCAGCTTTGCTCGTCTCAGCAGGCTTCGCCATCCCCGCGCTGTTTACCTCGAGAGTGGCTAACAAAGCTTACAGCACCGTCGTCGCACGAGTGCAACCAAACAATTGCGGATTCTAGTTCTTTAATACCACCGGCAAAAATGATCTACCCGCACTTAGCGCGATGGGAGCAAAAGGGCAAAACGATACCCGTCGGGCCCGCAGCCATGTCACCAACTTCTATGCCAACACTAGCAGCTCGGCAGCTCCATCAATATTTATCCGGCCAACTCTTCTATACGATATTAGCAGTTCCGCACCTTGCCCTATCCCGGCCCATGACCGCTGCATTTTGGGGCCTAACAAAGCTTTTAGCATCACGTCAGCCTTTCTAGACTCACATGAGATGCTAGGAGTAAATGCTAAGTTCGAAGATCGAGTCGGTATACAGCTAAGCTTGACTTGCTCTCCGGTACATACGGACGACCTCGTCCAATTACTCGAAATGAAGACGGCGCTTTTATGGAATTTTTCCTTGGGCCGATTCATGACATGACAAATTACACCTATAGGTACAACAAAGCAATCGCAAATAAGACTGGAATCGGCTATTTGATACAGTATGCGACCCCAATTTTCCTTTTTCCTAAAGGCTATAAAACAAGATGAGATAACCTGTAGTGTTCTTGCTTACGCTGACGAATCGAAGGTCCTATCCTAGTTTCGCCAAGGGCAGCTCGTTGAGCAACCCTTTGCTTTGGAAGCCAATCCCGGGTTTCAGCCCCATTGACGCCGATGTCACCGTTCATTTGTTAAGTCAAAATAACATTGGGTACCTGGCTCCAGTTTATGACTCATGGTTTTCTGCCAACGGAACCTACAATATAACTTCACAGGGTACTACTGTATTTGGCTCTGACCGCACGTCGACAACATGGTTTGCGCCGATCAATATGTTTTATGCAACCCATCGATTGCGTCATGCACTTCCCCAGCCGGTGTTCTAAACCTGGTAAACAACTTGACGAGTACCACCCTAAATTTTAGTACAACCCAGCTCTCTACAGCTGATCGAATTCTCTATTCCCTGATTCAGTCGAATACAGATACAACTGTGGCAAACCTCGGTACAGCGGCGCTATGGGCCAACAATATGGTGACCGGACATATCTCTTCCGGCCTACCGGATGATCAGTGGAAGACTGAAGTGATTAGCTGGTTTCAGACCAACCTTGCCATGCTACAGGCGTACGTAGTCGATTTTGCCTCCAACACAGCTGACTTGGGTCCTTTCGGATACGTTGAACCGCCTATGAGTAGGTATCAGCAGGAGCAACGCACCCAGCAGCTGGTACAGGCCGTCGGCGAGGTCCAAAACTTCAGTGTTTGTGGGATGCTTATCATCGTTTGCGTCAGCGCTGCCCTGGTACTGCTAGATTGTTCGCTGGAGCGGATTGTTGATTTTGTCGACGATTTCTATGGGCGAGATTCAATGGCTAGGAGGGCCAGACAGGCAGATAATAAGCTACACCTTTTACGTATGGCGTTAGGGGGAAACGAGTGGGTGCTTGGGCGATGGAGCATCCCGGTGCGGGATGGTGCTGTAAAGTATAACAGACCCTCCGGCTCGAAGGACCTTGTCTCCTATAGAGATTCTAAGACGGGAGAAGATACGGGATGCTTGCAAGTATGCGAGTGAGGGCCTCTTAAGGGGGCGACGGATAAGAAAGAGGTCAGTGATACCGTTTCGGGGGCAATAGGAATGTGTCTAAACTTAATTTTTAATATTAAATACTTTAATTTACTTATATATAACTATTGCATTGATAATTATTTTATAAAAAGAGGCTTACTTGCGCTTCCAACTATTGAGTCAAAATATGTAAGACATGCTGCGGAACGTACATCTTCCGAACTGCAAAACTGGGATTATCAGTGAGGACTTGTCCGTGCGGCCGCCCAATGCGCGATGCCACCGATCCCGTGGTGTGTCTCAAACTCGGACCAATCGAGTGACGTGTAATCGTGTATGAATAGCGATGCTTGCTTTCATCTTGCCATGTTTGCGGTCTTTTCCCAATTTCCATCTTCTCATGCTTTGCAGCAAACCACCGGAACACTGCTGTTGAGGGCAGCTCAAGCAGCATGTATGTATGACGGTGCCGGAATATTCTTAGACACTCACAACTCACCCGCACCTTCACTCAGCCCAGCCCTGCAAAATGGATACCTCCTTATGAACAACGTATCTAGCAGCTCGTGCTATACTAAAAGGTCGGGAGTTCGCAATGTCTCAGAAGGTCTGACAAAGCCGTCGTTTGTCTCATGATTGGCGGCGGCCTGCCCTTATCCCCGACAATCGAAATACCAGCCATGATCGAGGTCGCCCAGCCGATCCCCACTGGCATGAATACGACAAACGCGGCGTATGTCTCACCTCCATCTTGATGAATTCACCGCAATATTGTCAAGGTTCGTCGGAAGGAGGTTGCATTCGGCAGAGCCATCAGCCTTATGCATTTTTAGTATGTAAACCAACCATCGGTGATAAATGGTATAAATACCCGAAGAACTATCTATAAGACTCTATCAAGTTTGAGCATCAGTTCTTTAACACATCCCATACACGTAACAGGTCCACAATGAAATCGTCAACCATTCTTCCCGTTTTTGGTCTCCTAGTGTCCCTTTGCCAGGCTCAGGCCGACCCCAATACCCTTGCAAGGTACAATCCAGCCAACAGGACAATGTCAGCTAATACCAGTACGTATGAAGCAAGCTAATTTCAAAATTGTTGCAGTCTACTGACAACGAGTTGAAGCATATTGCCTTGTTCCCATCAGCAAAACTCTTGTCAAGACCATTACTGGGTATGATCCTTTGGACATCGACATTAGCATCCTGCCATCTTTCCCGACTGGAAAACACCCGCTCATTGTACAAGCTGGCTACCAAAAGGATATTCGCATGACGGCACTGAACCTTATCCCACTACAGATAGACTCTCTCATGCAGGGCTCTCTCATTGTGCCCTTTGTTGATGTCACGAAGGACGGACAAACCCCCGTCGGCGTCCCAGTCAACTTTTACATCGGTGGGACTAATGGACAACCGCTCCAGGCAATCGTGCCTAGTATCGCCTCAGGTGTTTCGCCCTTTGAAGGAACCACCATCTTTCCGGCGACCTTTTCTCCCGATACATCAGCTGCGAGGGCTCTCTCTAATGGTTTCAACAGTATACAGGTGAAGCCTTTTCTTCTCCCGAACACTATCTCTGGGCCTGGAATCTACGCCGAAGCATTCGACATTTCGTTCAAAACGATAGACAGTTCCCCTTATACAGCTCACACTTTTCACTCGCTATTGAACATCCCCCAACTTCTTAACACCAAAAAGTGTCAGCGCAATACCGTCTACTTCAATGAGTCGTCTTCTGAGCCGCAGATGGCTGTTGGGGAGGTGACACTTTATCACCAGATTTTGGCTACACCTCCACAGGGTTTAGAAGGAGTTTATAGGGATGTGTATTGCTATTCAGCTAATGGCCAGGTTGTCTCGAGCCTGGGCGAGCCTTGCAAAGTTGCGGCAGCCAACATGGACCCAGAAGCTAAGGTTTAGAGATCACGCTAGATAGAGACTATCGCCAGTCATCTGAACGAAATGGACGGATGATTCGTTCAATTGCCTACCACCAGCTGACCTAACCTTTAATTCACAACTGGCTTGGCTCCGTCTAAGGCAAAGGTCAGCTCTATTGGGTTCCATTCGCGCCGGTTAAACCTCGATCGCACTAGAGGGTGTCCCCTTTATCAAGTTACTTTATCACTGGTGCCCGAAACAAATACAATGAGAACTGTAGCATAGCTGATACTCTATGTTAGTAAATTGCAATTACGCCAAGGCGTGACCACTCACGTTGTCCCAGCTACTACAAGTTCAGTCGTTTTCGCCCGTGTCAACCCGGATAATACTAAAAGGTACACGATAGTCGACAACATGACAATAAAAATACGAACCGCTGCTGTCGACACGACGTTGCAAACAACAATTGGCAGTAGTAGAAGCAAAGTGACCAAGCATATCAATAGTCCTTTGGCGACACGGCTGACAAACGGACCATTGTATATATGGACGTTTGGGTCAGATGAAACATATCGGTTGCTCTGTTTCTATTAGTATGGACACATTGTATCAAGTGGACTTGCGCATACTTCTCGGAATTTGGGTAGAAACTGTACAAGACGCTCTTCTATCCAACTCTCAAACCTCTTGACTGCGTTATCAAGCGTTGGGACTAACGAGACAAGGTCGCGATCGTGCTCGAGGTAAGATGTCTCATTCCCAGCCAGACACCCGTTCCCATCAACCCAGTTCCTAAGGCTTTGCACATCTCTTGATTCTGCATCGCTGAGAGTGAGCGCTAGATTGGTTTTATCTATAAAGCTGTCTGTGATATCGTCAGCAGCGCATATGGGGATAGATAAGAAGGTAGCCATACCATAATCAACCAGTGCAGACTCTATCCTCGATAAGACTGATAACCTTTCAGTATTTCTATCGATGCGGCTCTTTCCGAGAAAAATGGGTGCCTTTTCCTGTTGATCTATCTGGTCGAGTTCGCTCTCTAGAATTGATAGCTGGTCTTGTTTTAGTAGCAGCAGCCGTGCTCTGAGTCTGTTGAAGCGTCTAAAGATAAAAAAAGGGCTATGTGATGCGATAAGGGCTGTAAATCTCGGATAGCCTGGCCTGAAATCTTCAACTATCTGAGGGTCAGAACATCAAGCCCTTGTTGCTGAAGAGGCACTTTACTTTTCCCCGTTGTTGGAGGTTTCGCTGATTGCGCCGGAGTTGCCGAAAGAGGAAGAATGGGCTGACCCGTCATGATGTCGTCAAGGTGGGATTTAATTCATGCAGGACTTTAGGACTTGACAAGCCACGTTCAGGGAAATGCCAGTTACTTTAATCTTTGAGCAGGCTCCTGAGGTATCCAATGAAGTGCCCCCACGTGCAAATGCAAGTCGAGGCCCAGGCGGGCAATATACATAAGCTAAATACCCGCTGTTATTTCGTCAATTCATTTTTCCCTTTCTCGCAATTCCACTAGCATCCATCCAAAATGTCCGATGACCAGCAGTAAGTGGTTGAAACTGTGGACTTGCAAGTAAGCTAATGCTCGTCACTCCCAGAAAGAATGGATCGCCTGAGTACACCCCAGGCGGCAAGCGACCATTCGTCTCTACATATGATAATGTATATAATAGTTGTCACTTGGCTAGCTGAAACTCTTGTACTGAATCAGGCTGTGCAGGCACCCAGTCTCAAAGTGGGAGACAGCGTCTACTTGCTGAACACCGATGGATCCAGAGAGGGCCCGTATCTTGTTGCGACAGCCCCAGTTTCTGGACAATGCACGCTTTGTTATACCAATGGGAGCCCATTCAGAAACAATGCAGGCATTGATGTGGATGAGCTGGAGGCCTGTTGAAGGCCCCGCGGGATAAGCAATGATGAGCAGGCATTGCTGGGGCACATGATTCCTCACATCATTTTGGTGGCTTTTTTCAGGCAGAAATGCATTTGGGGCAGTGTAAGGCAGTCAGAAGGCAAAGTACATTGAAACAACAATGCATATGCACAAGAGTCGCCATGGCGAGACCAATCACATACATATTCTGCATTACCCCTCACGATAAGAATTACGATAAGTCAGGCCCCGTGAATAACGTCGCAAATCAAGTTCAAGACCATCTAAACAATGGCCGAAAAGCGGTCTGTTTCGCCAAAGCATCATGCTATCCTAATCGGCATCGACGCCTATCCTGACAAATACAAGTCATCGCTGAAGGGCTGTGTACGAGACACGCAACAAATCAGATCATTACTCGAACAGCAACCATTTCACATCAACATCCAGACCTTGACGGCCACGCAAAGCTCTGATAGTAGCATCACGGGGCCCGTTGAAGATTCTGCTGCGTTACCAACCTATGACAACGTAATCAAGGCCTTCAGAGATCTGACTTGTGCGGCTCAATCTGGAGATTACATCTACATCCACTACTCTGGACATGGCACCCGCATCGCTCCCACCGCCAAGGCATTCTCCAACCAGCACACCGGAGACTTGGCTCTAGCGCTTCTTGGTGGTGAGAATGGAGACGAAGTACGGCCCCTTGGAGGGTACAAGTTAGCAGTTGCTCTGAATGCAATGGTGGTGAAAGGACTGGTTGTCACTCTAGTTCTCGACTGTTGTTTCGCAGCAAGTATTTATCGCCTGGATCGTACCGATATTCGCTTCCTCCGAATTGATCCAGAGCTTGCATCTGCGTACTTCGCCGACAAGAGTTTGGCAGAGCAAGATGAGGAAACGCCCGACTCGGACTACCGTGATGTATCTATGCTGCCAAGCTGGTTGATTAACCCGAATGGCTATGCACTTCTTGCAGCTTGTGGTCCCCATGAAGAGGCTGGTGAGATAATTTACAAAGGAGAGTCCCATGGCGCTTTGTCCCATTTTCTGAACATGAGTCTAAGAGACGGCGGGTTAAATCGCAAACACAAGAACATCTTCTACCGTCTCAGCTCCAAATTTCGTGGTCACTCGATTCAGCAAAACCCTGCATTGTATGGAAACAAAGATCAGGGATTCTTTGGTGAGAACAATTTTACGAACTCACGATCGATGGTACTCGTTGTGAGAAATGGTCAGCATTTGGCATTGCAGGCGGGTCAGGCTCATGGTGTATCTGATGGCGATGAGTTCGTCCTGTATCCTTCCAGCGTCCTTGAGAACAACGAGGCTTTTCACACTAATCTTATTAAAACAACGGTTGCAAGAGCTGGTCCTTTAACCAGCTTGTTAAACCTGGACGAATCGACCGCTGTGACAACTGAGGATGACTGGGTTGCTGAACCACAAACGAGGCAAGCTCTTGGCAAGTTCCCGGTGTCTTTCAGTGACAGCATATCTACTCAAGATACCTGGCCAGAAGCGCTGAGAAGATACGGGATGACCCATGCTGAAGAGAATGGCTCGACATCCTGTTTTCACGTCGACGCTATCGACGACGAGTACAAGCTTCTGACTCCAAATGGTGAAGAAGTGACGAACCTCCCCCCATTGCCGCAAAACACAACAACCGCAGATGATGTCGCTGCAGTCTTGGAGCATTTAGCTCGATACGAACTTGTCAAGAGCCTTTCGAATCACTTTGTAGAAGAAGACTTTAGAACATCGTTCGACATCAATATTGCACGGGCAGGGGATCACTTCGGCCCAGACACTCTCGTCAACGTTGAACAAGATGCAGGCAAGGCATCTATGTTCGAGCTGAAGCTTCAGAACCACGGAACCAAAGATTTGTACCTGTACATCCTTGACCTTGGTCCCCTTTGGCAGATTGAGGATATATATTGCGGCAGCTACGCAGTGGTTCCTCCATACAACAAGAATGAGAGGTTCATGACGGGCCATTTCACAAAGAAGTTCAGAACCATGGTACCTGATGAGTTGAGACAGCAGGGCATTGAAGAGTGTAGTGATACTCTCAAAGTGCTGGTAACTTCCCAGCCGACATCTTTTGATCTGCTGGAGCTTCCCAAGATTGGTCATGTTCTCAAGAAGAGATCACCTGCCGATAATGATAGATCTGGAGGCAGTTCTGTTGAGCAGTGGATCGCCTTTAGCTTTCCACTAAGAACTTTTCTGGCAGCAGAACTAAGCGCCACAAAGACAGGTTAAGAGTTTACGTAGATTACAGTTGTTAAAGCGTCATATTAATGCCAAACTATTTATACCTTTTTTTTTCTTTTTCTTTTTTTTTTTTTTAAGAGTCTATCCATTGCTCCGAGTGTCTAGTTGCACTCTTAATCCTTGATTCTATGCAATAACCAACCGCTCGTAATTATTAGTCTTGTCTTCCTCTGGAACATGCCTGGTGCAAACCCAGACCCCATGATTAGCTTGTCGTCCATACGGCACAAGTCATCGTAATAGCTCCACTGCATACACTCGTCCCATGACTCACAAGCTGCTTCGCACGCATCCACAGACTTCCAGGCGTTGGTTCACAGGCTGCGATTGTACTTGGACTGCGGAGCCGGAGGCAAATTCGCGTTGGCGGAAGTAATATCAAAGAGACACGATAGATTGTCCCACCATTCTCGTCTCTTGTCCAAATCTAGAGCAATCATCCTTTTGAAAAGGTCACCGTGGAGCATGGGCCTCTGTATTGGTGTCAGTTCAACAAGCTTCCATCTAAGTTCACGTGATAGGAGTTCCACTGACCTTGAAGCCCCAGCTCTTTTCCAGCTCGTAGTATCTCGCTATATCCCTGCTGTGCGCCTTGTGCCATGACAAAAGGGGTCTGCACCAGTTCTCACTCCTGAAACCGAACTTCCAATGCACCACTCCATTGAATCCCCAAGTAAACTTCTCATCACCCCCGTTTTGTCCAAACCGGATTCCATATTCGTTCAGTTCACGTCCCAGGATGTGATCGCCACAGCCGTGTTGGCGAGTGTACTCGGCAAAGTCCTGAATGAGTCGCGGGTTATTCCCAAAGGACATCTCCCATGTTCCCCTCGAGAGCGCAAAGCCAGAACCTCCATGTGCGAAAGTGACGTTGGCCATGAAGGCTGAACTGCCAAGGTAATATGGTGCCTCCCAATCGAACGATGACAGATAGTTCAGTACATTGGGCAGAAGGATGTATGCATCGTCCTCCATGAAGACATACCAGAGAGCATGGGGCCAATTCCTGCCAGCGAGATCCATAATGGGTAAGAATTTATACTTGTCTATAACCCAGCCGCCGACAGGGCCTTCATGATCACCTTCTATATTCGCGCGCTTAATGTAGACGTTATTTTCAACTTATTGTGGCACTGCATGGTAGACGTCGAAATCGGCATGTGACTTGGTAGCTGTCGTCATATTTTTTGAGGACGTCAATAGTTGTAAAGTTTCCGATAGTCTCCTTGTCATCCGAGTATATCACAACGTTGTCCGGATTAATTCTCTCTGGAGACAGACTGGTGACCAAGTGAATGAGCAGACGGCGGTACATCGACGCCCCACCAGTCTTCAAGATCAAGAGAACATCGCTACCCTCGTGCTTTGCTTGGCCACTGGGATGCGTTTGCTGCGTTCGGTGGGAGGGCTTCAGAACGGGGATTGTTGCCGATAAGGGCTGGTGGTTAACAGGTACCCTCACTGTACCAAATCCTTCCATGGAGGAATTGAGAAGAGAGTAGTACAGCACGAGACACATGGCAATAATGAAAACTGGGAGAATTCGGTTGTCCCTATATGTGGTGAACATCATCCCTGTCGAATGGGCTGGTACAAAGCACACAATGGCAGCTGCTTCGTGAGCGAAATGGTTTGATGAAATGAGGTTATTGCAAATCAGCGAACATGTAGATATTCTTAGAGCATTTCGGGTGAGTCAGTGTGGCAGCCCAAACATAGACAAGACGCGGAAACGTCGGAAACGGCCGGCGATTAGTTTAATGTCCTGTTTCATGTTTACGGCAAGTTAAAGTTTACAACGCTTTTGGAGAGCGGTGTAATTATCGGCTTCCACTTTACGGGTAAGGGTCTAGAATACGTCCCCTATTGTGGACATCTATCCCCTTGCCAATGATGTTCATGCGTTTACTTTTACGAGATATCAACTTACCCTGACCAACTCTGAAAATTGACAACGGTACATCAGCAGGACCCTGCGATATTCATGGAACTCAGAGCAACCAATCGCGAAACACTCCCACGGTATTTTTAGTTTCTCATCAAATTGGACATGGAAACTTTTATCTGTCTCTTGTCATATTCGCTATGTAATGAGGTGAAAGCTGACTCAAGCAGTGGGGCTGATATACGTAACGGCCTCGTATACAGTATCTATAACAAGAACATATTCGTTGCGACTCTAGCAAGCCTAGTAATCTTCTCAGCACCAATCTGATCTTATACCGTCACTCTTCCTTATTCTATATGCCAGAGACTCTCGATCCTTTCTAACGCTAAATAAGCATTGACAGCAGAACTCAGATGGCATTTATAAGTGTGCCCAGAGGACGAGATCTGTCGATATCAAGACAGCTTCTCAATTTGGCTGGGTGTCTGCTCATTATCCCAGCGTTCTACTTGACTACCATACAGACCCTGTACCCAATGACGATAGATATACTCCTTGGCATTATCCTGACTGAAAGCAATCGATTTGCCAACGAAGGGCGTCGCATATCCTTCTACTCAACCCTGCAAAGGGAGAACAGTCCAAAGGGGAGGGAAGCCAACTTCTCAACGCAGAGCAGTAATGTGAAGCTGAATTGCTTATCGGCCGTGGTTGGATACCGCGAAGACACCGCGTTATTTACGCGAGCTCTTGAGAGCTACAAGGCAGCTCGAGGTCAAGATTTTATGTTGGTAGGCATTGATGGTAATAATGCAGAAGATCAAGACATGGTAGACGTTTTTCAGAGGGTTGTGTTGCGTTGATGTAATTCTCCTTCTCGGTAGGCCTCGCTAACAGAAAGGCAGGTCTATCCTTCTCGGAGTCAGATCATTCACCCGGTCTACGCCCGCTTGTACTGCAACGAGTGACTGTCAGAGCGGGCCTTGTACTGCCTTTCGACTATCAGCTCTGTCGGCCATTCTTATGCCCTGGTATATGCAGAAGGTCTTTGGCAAGCGAATGGTACGTGACCAGATACCCATTACTATTCATGAAGTCTGGGAATAATGTTAACCTGGTGCTAGATCGTTAACGAGGATCGCCACCTTACCACCAACCTTCTCGTTCGCGGCTGGGCCGTGGTCTTTGCCTCCGACGTCCTTACCGCTACAGAGACGCCTACTACTGTCACACGCTGGTTGCGACAACAAGTCCGCTGGGCCCGGGCGACGCACATCGAATCACTCCTCATCCCATGTGTCTATGCCATGTCTCATCCCATGGCATTCTTCGCCGCCGCCAGACGCGAGTTTGGACCTCTAGTCGTTGCGGTCGCTGTGCTCTCGTACTTCCTCACGTCGCACAAGCTGCTTTACTTCAGCTACCCGGATTTGTTTCTTCGAATCGGCATTACTACAGTCTACAATCTCTTGCGCAATCCGGACAGGTTGAGACTGGCATTGTCGTGGTATGTTGTGCCTGGCATGTTCTTCTATAATATTCCTCTGCCAGCAATACACATCTGGAGTTTGGTGACAATGACGGCTGATACGTGGGGGACGGCAATGAGAGCGAGCACGGAGATTCCTAAGAAGGATAGTAGTCGGAAAAAGTGGTTTGAGACAGGCTTTTTTGTGGTTTGGATGGGAATTGTCGGAGGGACAGTGAGCAGGTGGCTGGCAAACGAGTTTGACTTGTGCCAGGGCCAGACGCTTGTATTCATGCTGTGCGGCGTCTCGCTCGCATCTGTCAGCACCTGGAAGGCAACAATTGCGAGTCAATAGGTAGAAACACGGGTAATTCGGAGTGACACGATAAATCCACCCCCTCCAGACTCGGGCTAGCTTGTACCGATCCTCTCTCGTAAAGGATCGGCCAAGTAAAAATTGGAGAAACTGCCTAAACCCCACTACCTCCACTCATCACTCGGGGCGTCTGGGGCTTCTGGCTTTAGTGCATCCTGCGCTGTATAAAAGTAGTAGTCAAGTGGCCTCCGCAATCCTTAACACATTTGAAGGTTTGCGTCTCTCTTTAGAACCCAAACATCTGTCATTATGTCTCTGCAAGTTGTTGATGTTCGCTTTGAGCATTATCGCAGCCCCAACACCTTGGGTATTCATGAGCACAAACCTCGCATTTCCTGGCGTCTAAGCAACGCCCCTCCAGGCTTTGAGCAGCAAGCTTATGAACTGCGCCTGGAGCAGATCATCGGCCAGAAAAGCCATGTCGTCTGCACTTCTCAAGTGGAATCTTCAGAGTCCCATTTAGTTCCCTGGCCAGCTGAAGAGTCGCTCGCTTCTCGTCAAAGATACACTGTCTGCATTCGAGTCCGTGGCAAAGGAGAAACATCCTTTTCCGATTGGAGCGAGCGGGCTTGGCTGGAGACAGGCCTGCTCAACCGAAGTGACTGGAAAGGCAAATTCATTTCGGCTCCTTGGTCAGAGAAGGACAATGATAAGCCGAAGCCAGAGGATCTCTTTCGCAAAGCATTTACGTTGAATTCTGGCATCGCATCAGCACGCCTCTACATAACCGCGCAGGGCATTTATGAGGCAGAGATCAATGGCCGTCGCGTTGGCGACTACTTCCTCGCGCCCGGTTGGAGCTGCTACGACAACGAATTGACATATCAGACCTACGATGTTACCGACCTTCTTGACAGCAGAGACAATTGTCTTGGTGTCCGTCTTGCTGAAGGCTGGTTCACTGGCAGATTGAGTTTTGATGGCGGTATACGCAACAGATATGGCACGCGTACAAGCCTCCTTGCACAGCTCGAATTGCAGTACTCCGACGGGTCTTCGCAAGTCATTACAACAGATGATGACTGGATGGTAGCTCAAGGCCCTATTCGCCTGGCGGAGATTTACAACGGCGAAAAGTACGATGCTACTGTTGAGTTACCTGGCTGGTCTTCTCACGAGCACGTCACTGGACATTGGGAGCGTGCCGTTGCGCTGCCATTTATATCTGAGAAGATCAACTTGACAGCCGGTTATCGTGAGCCTGTCCGACGAATTGAGACATTGCAGCCAATCTCCAAGATCACAACACCATCTGGCAAGACAATACTCGATTTCGGTCAGAACCTGGTGGGATATGTTCGAATCAAAGCTGTTCAAGGACAACGTGGCCATGAAGTCACGCTGAAGCATGCCGAGGTCCTCGAAAATGAAGAACTGGGTGTTAGACCTCTCCGCGTCTGTGACGCCACGGATATCTACACACTCAGAGGGGATGCTGAAGCCGAGGTATACGAGCCTCGATTCACATATCATGGCTTCCGTTACGTTCAGATCGACAATTGGCCTTCCGAAGAGCAAGATGTCGCCGCTGCGCTTGAAGCCGTTGTATGCCATACTGATATGGAAGAACAAGGAACTTTTGCATGCTCTGATGATAAACTGAACCAATTATTCAGCAATGTCCGCTGGAGCATGCGAGATAACTTCCTCTCTATCCCAACAGACTGCCCACAGCGCGATGAGCGACTTGGCTGGACAGGCGATTTGGCCTTGTTTGCACCAACAGCTACTTACATCTACGGCTGCTACCCGATTCTTCGAGACTGGCTCAAAGGTGTATGGTTTGACCAACAGCGACAGGGAGGAGTGCCTCCAATGGTATCGCCAAACATTCTTGACAAATGCAGGATCTGGGGTCCTGTTTGGCCTTGTGCTATCTGGCATGATGTGGTCGTCTTGGCTCCTTGGGCGCTGTATGAAGAAACAGCTGATCCTGCTATCTTGGCTGACCAGTTTGAGTCAATGGAGACGTGGTTCAAAGTCATCCCCAAGAACAAGGGCCGATGCACTCATCTGTGGGATTTTAATGCCGATCAACTATCCGTAAGTCTTCCCGAATCTCTGGAACCACTTTTGCTGATCTTGTCAGGACTGGCTTGACCCAAGCGCTCCCCCAGACGATGCTGCCAAAGCTACGACGGATCCTCCACTGGTGGCCAACGCATTTTTGATCAACTCTCTTGACATCATGGCACGCGTCTGTGGTGTTCTTGGCAAGACAAAAGATCATTCATTCTACAAATCGTGGGCCGACAATGCGCGAGCAGAGTTCACCGAAGAATACGTCTCCCCGAGCGGTCGCCTTGTATCAGACACACAGACTGCGTACTCATTGGCGATCTGCTTCAAGCTTCTCAATAAGGACCAGCTATCACGAGCTGGGTCGCGACTTGCAGAAATTGTTCAAAGAAACGCCTTCCGCATCGGTACTGGCTTTGCTGGTACACCTTTTGTCTGCGAAGCCCTCACCTTGACTGGCCACAGCAACGTCGCTTATTCTATGCTCCTGAATGAGAAATGCCCCTCGTGGCTGTATGCTATCTCGATGGGTGCTACTACGACCTGGGAACGCTGGGACAGTATGCTACCCGACGGATCGATCAACCCTGGCGAGATGACCAGCTTCAACCATTACGCTTACGGGGCGATCGCCAAGTTTATGGTTGAACGACTTGCTGGATTGCAGCGGCTTGAAGCGGGATGGAAGAGGTCGAGGGTGCAGCCTGTTGTTGGGGGCGATTTTACTTGGGCATCTGCGTCGCATCTCACGCCTTATGGCAGGGTGTCGAGTTCATGGAAGCTTGAAGGTGACGAGGCAGGAAAGCAGGTTATTCGCGTAGATATTGAAGTGCCACCGAGCACGACCATGGAAGTTGTGCTGCCTGGTGAGAATGGCACTCAGAAGACTGAGGTTGTTGGGTCAGGAAGGTGGTCATTCACAGCGGATTTTGAGAAGCAGGGAGAGTGGCCTGTGAAGGAGATCAAGTTTATCTTGGCCAAGATTGTTGAGGATTTTCAGAGAGAAGAAGAGCTCAAGGCCCAGGCTCCGAATGGCTTAGAGACTTAGCTAGGTCAATTTTAATACTACGTCGACTTCAACTCGAGCATTCCTCTTGTGCGATGTAAAACCACAAGTCTAGCATGTTCCTTCACAGAAGTATGCCTGGTGTACGTCTTCATGTCGGCGACGCCGTGTCCTTCGATGGTCTGAGATGTGAATAGTGTCTTGCTCGGCACATCAACTCGCGAGAAACCCCTCGTATACCGAATTCGTTGAACGCCTCATCACTCTAATCGACCTTGCAAGCAGTCGCATCACCAATAATTCCTGAGCAGCCAGGTTCGTCGCGCGACCCGATGATCCTTCCCGATATTCATGCATTCAATTCGGCGGATCAGCAACCGAACAATGACCTAGATCACGAGTCAAATTCTTGCTTCGTCTACCCACCATTTCCGAGTCACCAATGAAACTAACTCAAAGCCGGCGCTAGTAGAGTCAGGCCGGCTTTGATGACTCGCCATTGGATCGTGATGGCTTCCCCCATCTGGTCTAGACCCTTGTCTCAGTCCACCTCAGTTTTTCTCCCCATCTGGGGCCCCGCACTCTGGTGAACCAGCAGGTTGGAGAAGCTTTTCCATCCGGGGAACTTTGTACCGCGATGCCAATGGTAACATTCTCTTTATTATATAAGATGCATCTTCTGCTGCCACTGATATCGATTCCCCATCACTCTCCACAAGATCTATTGTCTGTCTCTTGACGCCCATACCTTCTTGCTACCTCTTGTCGACATCCTCCCTCCCAATGGAGAAGCCTGAATCAACCGCTCACGTTGAGCGCTCAGACTCCAAAACCGTCCATGTCTCTCCAGACCACACACGCGGTCATGCCATTCAACACCAAGAACACAACCGAACCTACCTCCAGACCCTCCGGCGTGATCCATGGCTTCTCCTATGGATCGGAGTCATGCTCTGGACTCTCATCGTCCGCGGCTTCGAGAACCAGTCTTCTGGTTCTGTAATCAGCATTCCTGTGTTCAAAGAGCGATTCGGCAAACAACTCGACGACGGTTCATACTTTATCGAAACGAGCTGGCAATCTGCGCTCAGCGGTGGCTCCAACGGTGCTGCCATCTTTGGAGCCTGGGCCTCATCATACTTTGCTGATCTGATTGGCTTCAAACCCGTCATTCTGATTGCAGCTGCTATCAACATTGGATCTGTTGGCGTTGAATTTGCCTCTACATCGATCGAAATGTTCTTTGCTGGCAAGATGGTCAACTTTGTCGCAATTGGCGCGTTCCAGAACCTCTGCACAGCATACGTAGCTGATGTCTCACCACTGGCCATTCGATCTACAACAATTGGATTCTGTAACCTTGCTCAATGCATTGGTCCCTTTATCTCAGCCATCCTCTCCAACTTCAGCTCTCAGTGGGAATCCAACTGGTCCTGGCAGTCTCTCATCGTTGCTCAATGGGGTTTTGCTGGTGTCGCTTTGGTCGGACAGCTCTTCATGCCTGAGAGCCCTGTCTACCTGGTCCGCAAGGGCAAGATGGAAAAGGCCCGCATGGCTCTTGAGCGCATGTACTCGGACCCTGAAGACGCCTCTGGTCATCTTGAACGTATCAAGTTGACTCTCGAAGAAGCTGACTCACAGAATCTTGGCTCGTACCTTGATTGCTTCAAGGGCACCAATCTTCGACGATCTCTTATTGCCATTATGGTGTTCCTTTCTGAGCCCATGTCCGGTCTTGGGTTTGTCTCCAATTATGGCGCCCTTATGTACCAGTACCTTGGAATCAGCGACAAGAAGTCCTTCGAGATTCAGATCGGCGCTCAAATTCTCTCCATGTCCGGTGCGACCATCGCTTTCCTCGTTGGCGACTTTTATGGACGTCGACCCATGTACCTGGCTGGATGCATTGGCCTCTCCCTGCTTCTCATTTGCATGGGAATCTCTGGCTCGGTCAATACCACCGCTGCTGTGACGGCCTCTGTTGGCTTTTACACCATGTACAACTTTTTCTACAATGTCGGTGTTGGGTCAACTGTGTACACCCTTGCAGGAGAGATCCCCACGTCCGTCCTTCGTACCAAGACCCTTGCCATCTCAATCTCCGTCTCGTCAGCTGTCAACACCATGTGGTCATTCGTCGCTCCCTACATGTTTAACCCTGGTTATGGCAATCTCAAGGCAAAGATTGGCTTTGTATACGGTGCTTTCATGGTTATCTTTGCTGTCATGGCATTCTTCTTTGTCCCCGAAACTCGCATGCGAAGTTATGAGGAGCTGGACGAGCTCTTCATGAACAAAGTGCCAACCCGTCAGTTCCGCACATATGTCACTCTTGCTGAGCGTCGCGCTGAGGAAGCTTATGCAATTGAGCATGGGATTAAGGATACTGTTAAGGATGTTTGAGACGATCTATTTATATTGAATTTTAATGACGACGTCAGGCATCAGCTATGTTGTGGTCTCGTTGCTCCAGTTCGCGGTTATAACTTGTCATAGTCATATCTATTTCGATATATCTCAAAGTTTATTTATAATTAAATATTTTTCTACAACTTTTGCAGTATTCATAATAAATATTAGATCTTATTAAAGTTGCTATCCTGAGAATTGAACTTTTCCTGCAGGGTAAGCATGTCTTAGTTGTCTTGCAAGTTGCAAGGCACTAAATACAGAAGATCATTCCACAGCCAATTGCTCACGCCTTACCCCGTACTACGATAAGAAGCAGTAACTAACCTCGGCTCCAGCTGCAATCCTTCTCCCTGTCCCAACACTTCCTGATTTTACCTTGTTGATGCTACAGTTGCTGCCCCGATTTGTGGAGTCGGATCGGGTTTGGCGAGGCAGGGATCTCAGGTTAGGGATGAGGGGGGCAATTAGCTCCGGCTTTGACGCTATTTGATTCGACACGAGCTTCGGCTTTGACTTGTTCTGATTGGGCTGCTCTCTTTTAAGTTCCACGTTCACTTCGGCTGTTTACCCGGCATTTTCTTACTAACTTGACACCCTGATCCACTCACCCCAGTGACAACATCGTCGCGTCGCGTCGCGATAAGTCAAGAGTGGCGTGATTTGGGTCTCCGACCATTGTCTAACGCTGGGCACTATATTCTTCAGAAAAGCAGGTTCGTCTTGCGCCGGAAATGGTTCAATTACATTTCAATCATTTACATTGTCGAATAACTCATCAGGTCTCCGTGTCGTAGTTTTGGATATCCATAATCATGGCTTGAGTGACGCGACCTCGTTCTAGATGGGCATCTCCGTTTGCTGCATCAACGCTGGCAGCAGACCAACTATCATCCACCTTGTCTTCAAGAGCAAGTGCATGAGCAATGAGAAACTTGACCATCCACCTGTCGAATCGGTAAGACTCTGCATTCATTGATTGAATGCAATTCTTCTGAAAGACAACTAATCGTTTGATCTGTATACTGATGAGAAACCATCGAGGAGTACTGGGGCATGGACTAACCATCATCTCCACGCTGGGCCAGTAGTTTCGCAGTTGTACCAACGACTCGAGGTTTGAACTCAGCCGGTCTCTTGACTCCTCAAGCTCATGAGACTCTCCAAACAGGTATGTGTGCAACAACACGGACGAGGACACGATCGTCACATGTCCCACGATGTTGTAGAGTGCTTCAGCCCCAGGGACCTCCCTCGAGGCCTTTAGGACGTCGCACACAATCGCAGCATGAGCTTTGCAGGAGCTAGCGTACTTGCGGCCGTTTCTTGTAGGTGGCCGGCGATGATCGAGGTATTGGTAGAACAATAGCGTATAGTAGTGGTGATAGCCCAGATGAAAGGCTATGAAGACGCGTCCCAAGCCACGTTCAACGAAAGAAGCCAGGTTTTCCCTTGAGAACATTAATTCAGGGCCCAAACCCTCTTCGAAAGCACTGAGCTCAGCCTCCAGCCTTTGCACCGACTCATCTATAAAGGACTCGTTCCACTCAACTCCATTCGCGAGTTCTTGCTGGAGGTTCTGTATTTGAGCGTATAACCCAACCAGTCTGACCATGTGAGCCCATAATCCAGGCTTCCAGTCCGAGTCTGCAACGTCGTCATCTCCTGATCTCATGTTGTAGAACATATACTCGTCGAGTGGCCCTCGAGGTTGTTTAGTTCGCCATCTGAACTGTGGTGATAGATTAGAACCTCCACTGGCCCAAGTGTCAATAATGAAGCACGTCCAGAATATGCGTCTCTTTACTTCTCGCATAACGCCGTCATCGCTCTCGTCAATTTCACCGAGCTTCAGAATTTGAGTCATTCGACTTGCAAGTCCTGGTCGAATATCAGATATGGTTTCAAGAGAGAAACAGAGCCAAGGACGAACCAAAATATAAAGACTCAGCATCTGCGTCACCTTCACCAAAGAAGTTGTTACCGACAAGAATGCAAGCTTGGATGTTCTCAATACAGATATGTTCCAAGTCTTTCTTCAATGCTGCAGTAGCTTGGGCGCGATACATTGGTCCACGAGCAACAATATCAGGCTCTGTAGCAAACCTGGACTCCCATCAGAGCTGTTGAGTGGGCCTTTCACGGAAGGGAAATGGGAATATGACATACCTTGCAGATAAACCTAGCATGGCAAGAAGGACGGGTTTTGACACTGTGCCCTCTGCAACGCTGGCCTTAAACGTGGGCTCATGGAAGAGGCTGTGAGGGGAATCATGAATGAAGCGAAAGTACAGGTCTACTAAGTACATCCTTTCATCTTGTATATGGACTGACATAATAGGGTGAGGAGGGCCCTGAACTTCTGATGCTCTTGGAAGTTGAGGACTGGTGATAGCAGTTGGACACTGTAAGTTTCGCTGAACACACTGGGAACATGCTGCTGAGCTGTCTGCCCGATCGCATCTGCGCTTAGAACTTCTACAGTTCAAACACGCGGTTGGGGGTCGCATGTCTACGATTCATTAGGTGTAAGATTGTATAGTGAGGAGGAGCTGGCATGGTATTTAAAACATCATGATTAAGGATGAGGTGATGATAGAGTTTGAATTGATGGCCATTACTCCGTAATTCAGCGTTAAATGCTGCTCCACTAGCCCCAACATGGTAGCGTTCCACACTTTAGCCGAGGCTGACTTTAGTATCTGAAAGGACACAAACATTAAAGATAAAGATAATACATTTACTCCCAGTCTTAAACGCTTGCTTCCTGCTGTTAATATTAGCACAAAGTAATCAAGTTGGCACTGCAACCTTGTACTAAATATCTCATACTAGTAATTGTCAAGTCATAAACCTTGCATAGATGCGCTGCATGTTGCTATTCAAGTCCTATCTTAATCATTGTTAACTAGCTTGAGGCAGCCAGCAGGGTATCCATCAGGCGCTGATCGCGCAATGATTACTACCATGATTTTGTCTCTTGCAACAACTTCCATTGTATGTTCTCTCCTGTCTTGGATCGCTAGCTTAGGCGTCGTGGTGCGTGCCTGGAAATGAATCTCTACATGGTGATCCATACAGTCCACTGCATCCGCAACAAATATCTGATTAGCCGATATATCTTCACCATTAACTATTATGTCAATGACTGGTTCTGGTTTCGTCACTTTGTGCGCATGATTCGTTTCCACTATTAGAGCGCCCTCAACACTGACGCCTGATATGTCACGGTTGTCGAGCGGGTAGACACGACATTTATCAACCCTGATCAACGGCCGGCTTATCCTAGTATTACTATCGATATGCCTCAGAGTGATCATGTCTGTTTGCAGTGGGGGCGTCAGTGGTGGTGGTGTTCTTGAACCTGTCTTGATCTCGAATGCATTTGCCCATGCAAGGAGCCTTTCGTCGTCATATGCCCGGCCGGCAAATGTGAGGCCTATAGGCATTTTCTTATCCGCGACCATGCCCATAGGGACTGTAACTGTAGGTATTCCCAAGTGCCGCAGGGCTCCATTGCCATTGCTGTAGTAAACCCCGTTCTTCCACGCGTGCAAAGCACTAGAGGGGTTAACATCAGCATCAGCAGCGCCGACATCGCCAGCCGCAGGGAACACAAAGCCGTCGCAATCAACTTCTGCCAAGTAGTCGTCCAAAAGCTTTCGGCGCAAATCTTCAAGCGCAATGAGTGCATCTTTCAGATTTTCAACTTGATCCATTGTAGTATCCTCCAGGTAGTTTGTAAGTTGGCTCCATTTAATAGCTGTTGTCGTCGGGAGATGTTCAAGTTCGACAGGTGTTCGCATAGACATTGGGAAGATATTTGTTCCTTCTACGTCTTTCAGACTGGGGTAATTGGGATCGGCATTGTTACGTAGAAACTGGTCCCAACCATGGGCGACCATCGGCCCTCTCTCGGTCTGATGCCACGACGTGGGCAGTTGAATTGTGCCTCGTGGTGATAAACCAGGGTTCTCATAAGCTGTGACTGCCGGAAAGTCGTCAACAACAACGATTTCCGCCCCTAGGTTTTCGAGCTGTCTTCTGGCTTCCTCCCAGACTTGGACCACTCTTGGGTTGACGGTAACTGGTTTGGCACCTTGGGGAACGGGACCACCGATATACATAGCCGGGACGGCAAATCGCAGACCTTGAAGCGTGGTATGATTGCCAATATCCTGAATCTTGTCTGCCGATAGCGACGACTTGGGCAACTCCACAAAGGGTTGGTCACGCCAAAAATCCCCTTTAGTAAGTGGATCTTGTACAAGAAGCACTTGAAGCAATGCAAGCATATCTCTCATAGTCCGTGTATGCGGTACTACAACATCACAAGTGGGGTAAAGTGGCCAGTTGCCCCGAATGGAGATTAAACCTCGAGATGGAGTATAGGCGACCAGACCGTTATTAGAAGCAGGTGAGCGTCCCGAAGATACTGTCTCTTCACCTAGACCAAATGCTGCCAAAGAAGCTGTTGTTGAAACGGCGGAGCCATTTGATGAGCCAGATGCAAAAGCTGCGGCTAGGTAGGTGCTGTTATATGGGCTTTCAGCCCGGCCGTAGATGCCTCTCTGCATTCCACCACATGCCATTGGTGGCATATTGGTTTTCCCGATTAGAATACCTCCTTGGTTCCGAATTGCGCTGACAGTAAACGCATCGTCCATAGCGATAAGATCCTTAAAGGCTGGAGAACCACAAGCCACGGTCATGCCTTTGACTTTGAAACTATCTTTGACGGTATACGGGATGCCCTCCAGCTTGCGAATCGCCTTGCCGGAAGCTCGATAGTCGTCGGATGCGGCAGCTTCCTCAAAGACATGACTATTCAATATTGGAGTTGAGTTGAGGGCGCGATCATAACGGCAGATACGTCGCAAGTAGAGAGCTACAAGGTCGCTTGTCAATGCACCTTGCGACAGTGCGGTTTGGAGGTCTTCAATAGTTGCCTCCACGATATTTAGAGTTGTCATATTGTCGGAGGTCACTTGTAAAGATGAGAAGTAGCGTGCCTGGTGTTGAGTTGTGGTCATATAGTAAAGGGCGATGTCATCGGAAAATCTGAGGAGTCATGTCAATATGGGTGTGCAAGACCTCCAAGTCAGTCTTTTATAGTCGTCGCGCACTCCAAATTCTTGATTCTGTGTTCCTTGGTGGGGATGCCTACTGGATCGAGTCACAATCACCACGCTAACTGGGTTTCAAGTCTGAATCGGATATAACTTAAGTGATGTTGTACGGCCAGTAACTACGCCCATTATTATGTGGGTTCAGTGAGGGAACGTAAAGAATGACATTCGAAAGGGCGTCGAAAAGGCGTACCCCACCTGAGGCAAATACTGGGAGTCCCCCTCCTCTAATGACCCAGGATCCATATGTAGACACTCCAAAGGGCGTACCTTGAGCCTTCCTCTTACTTGCTGGTCTGCGGTCTGACTGTGGACTGACTCCTTAGCTAGAATCGAGGTGTAAGTCACCAGACCATTAAGCAGAGAGACCGAGTGCCCTGCTAGGCTTCCTTTCAATCGTCGCTCCAGTGGCTTAGTCAATGACTCCCTTGTCAGAAGGCATAAATAGCTATCTAGGTCTCAATTATCGGAGTCAAAAACCCCTAGTTTTGTAATCCACACACTTTCTTCTCGACTACCCTTGTCCCTACCTCACTTAAAATATGGCTTCTTCAACCGATGAGACTTGGTACCTGCCAGCTGACACAGCTCCGCACCAGAGCCTTCTTATGGCTTACCCCAATACTACATCTGATAATACTGGCAGTTTGCTTGAAAATGCACAAGACGAAATAATCAGCATTGCAAATGCCATTGCAGAATTCGAGCCTGTCATACTCTTATCGAGCTCTGAAACTCTAGCAAGAGTCAAATCCAGAGTGAATCAGAATGTTACCGTCCTGTGCGTTGAGCAAACGAGCCATCTGTGGATTCGAGACTTTGGCCCAATTTTTGTTAAATCTCGGAGCGGAAAATCCATCCGTGGGGTCGATTTTAACTTCAACTACTGGGGAGCAAAACGTTCACCATCTGGAGACGAATTTATCGCCAAAATCGCGACCGAGCATATTACTGGTGGCGCCAATTTGCGTGCGGATATTGTTGCCGAGGGCGGTGCAATGGAAGTCGACGGTGAAGGTACTTTTATGGCCGCTGAAAGTGCTATTATCAATGACAACAGGAACCCCGGCAAGACCAGAGGCCAGATTGAGGATGAGCTGGCACGGCTGTTGGGGGTTCATAAGTTTCTTTGGCTTGCCGGCGAGGTTGGTAAGGAGACAACGGACTGTCACATCGACGCCCTGGCGCGATTTGTCCGTCCCGGAGTTGTTCTCTTGAGCAAGCCATCACCTCAAGGTACCGGAAAATATATGGCCGCATACGCGGACGCCAAGGCGAGGTTATCTACAGCTACTGACGCCCTAGGCAATAAATTAGTGTTACATGATTGCCTTGAGCCTGATTTAGACAAGCTGGAAAACATTTCTAAAGGAGCGAATTGTGTAGCTTCCTATGTCAACTTCTTGGCTGTCAACGGAGGGATCATAATTCCTCGATTCGGCGACGAGGACAGAGACCTTCAAGCTTTTCAATTATTCGAAACACTGTTCCCTGATCGGAAAGTTGTACAGGTTTATATTCACGCGCTACCACATATAGGGGGAGGAATCCATTGTGCGACTCAACAGGTCCCTGCCCTTGCTTAATCTATTGAACCTAACTAGGACTATTTTAAATAAAATCAATATTATTATAACACAAGGCAAACATAAATGGAAATTGCCTGTTTCATATAGCGATACCTATATCAACAAATCTAAGCCAAGGAGCCTATATCAAACATACCAGGGAAGGCGAACAACTCGTCTGGTTTAAGAGTTGAGGTATCTCCTACTTCTCCTTTACCATATAATGGCTGTGCACTAAACGGAAAATCGAATGACCTTTGCACAGGCTGTGAGCTCATCGATATCAGAGCTGATCTCTCACGCACAGGTGCTGCCGGTGCCGGTGTTGGCCGCCCCGATGCAAGATGATGATGTGTCTGATCTCCGCGTTTCCGTGGAAAGTCATTTGTCACCATTTCTCGAATCATTCTCATGATTGAGCGATTCACAATGAGCGCTCTTAACCGCGGAAGCTTTTCCTTAATGGTAGAAGCTGAAGCATCTGATATCCGCGTCGGCGGCCGATTTGGACGGTCGGCATACATCTCGAAGACATCCCAAAGCGCCATGGAGTGCCTGTCATCCATCATGTATCAGTATCAGCAGGACCGACGTTTGAAGTCCAAAGCTCGGCGGGAACCATGATGGTTAGCGCCGGGGTCATAGAAACATTGCTAAATTAATATATCCCACCACTTCAGCTATACAGCCACTTCCAGGTATTGTCATCACGGGGAGTGGGCACATTGTTAGTGACGGCATTTGGGATTTGATTGAAGCATGCAGGTCTTCTCATTCTACTATCCCCATACTTGGACATGTATGGAGACAAGGCTATATATGGTGTTATTCAGTACATATCATCTAAACAGAACTGCCCTTTTCCTGCGCCTGGCGTGACCGACTACTCCAGTGTATGAAAGCAGTAGGTATTACACTGACAGCTACAATGAGACCAGTAGCAATCCCACTTGATGCAACTAGGCCAACGCTAGTAAACATAGGAGGGAACCTGCGATTTGTTAGACCAAGAACTGCTCAAGAAGAAACTCAGTCCGGGATTATGGAGTCACGTACCAGAAGGGGCCGATGAAAGCCCATACCTGACGGATGAAAGTGACAAAAACTCCAATACTGGCTGCTTCCTGAGGATGGCGATCAACCGCGTAAGTAATAAGTACCGTTGTCGCAATTTGGTTTCCAGCACCCGCAAGCGCAATACCTATCACTGGGGTGATGTTCCAATGACCCTGAGGAGCGAGCTGTATCTGGACAAGGAAAACCACTACACCCGCAATTGCGAGCATAAACCCTAGGTAGCTAAACCAAAGCCGGTATTCTGGCTGTGCCTTACATCCAGTCTTCCTCGCACGCCTGTTCATCCAATAGTCGCTTAGTGTTCCACTGATTGGTTCACCCAAGGCATGCCCCACAATCATACCAATGAACTGGAGACCGAGCTGCTGGGGATTGAACCCGAACTTCTCGCCGAACAAGTTGGGTATTTCCACAGCAATAAGCGTGTTGCAGAAAAGGAACACCATAGCGTGAGCGACCGTAGGAAGTACGACACTGATCTTGCGCCAGAGCCCAAAGGGATGAATGAAATCGTTGAGCGACAGCGGGCGGGGATCGATACGTTTGAAGTTGAGATATTGTCTCTTGAACGAAGAGCCTTTGAGTTCATTGGTGCCGCGAACGTACAGCGTTTCTGGTCCCAGGAAAAAGTAGGCGACTAGCTGCAAGCCGTTGATCTGCAAGGAAAGAAGTGGTGAGAACGTGTGTACTAAAAGTCAATAGGGAGTTGGCCTACAATTGCTAGCGTCCAGTAGATCCATTGGTATCCCCCAGCGGCGGCGATAAACCCCATAATGAGAGGTGCAAGTGGAACACCGATGATGCTCATTAGAGTCCAGATACCTAAACACCGAGCTCTGTGTTTCTTGAGAAACGTTTCAGCCACGACACCACTACCAAGGGCAGCGGCTGGACTAATGAAGAAGGCAACAATGGCTCGACAGGCAGCCATGGCAGCGTAGGAAGAACTCTTGGCGCAGCCAATGTTTCCAAGCATACTGACAAGCAAGGAGACAAGAAACATAGGTCGTCGGCCGAAAGTATTGGCGAATGGTCGGTGAATCGCAGGGGCTACTGCTAGGAAGGCAATCTGAAGTGTGGTGAGATATGAAACTTGCTGGAGGGAGACACCCAAGTCCTCAGCGAGCTCTGGAAAAGCTGGAATGATTGCTGCGGCTATAAAGGTTGCCATACAGGCATGTACAACCACGAGCATGAGGTTGAAAATTTTCTAGTCAGACATCAGTACAATAGATGCAAGAATTGAGATGCAAAAATGCCAACCTTCCAGTTAGGCCAGTTGTACGGATCCGCGTCGTCGGGGCCTGGCACAGGATCGGGATCCAGAGTGCCGTGCCGCTTCATCAAGTACTCGGCATGCTCACGCGAGAGTGCTTCGGAAGCATCGCTAAGGGCCTCGACAGCCTTTCCGTTGTTGGGGATGTGCTCTTCCCAGTTCTGGGTAGGTTCTGTCGCTTTGGAGGGGCTTTTAAACATGTTGATAATAATTGAAGATATATTGTCAAATAAAGTTGTCGAGGAGGGAAGTGAGATGAAGGGAAAGACAAACAAGATGAGAGCGATTGATATCCAATTTGTATTCCGTGAGAAGCGACATCTAGACCTGGGGCAAGCACAGAAAATCCGGGGCCCCAGCTTCGCCCAAAGCTTTTTTAATGGGGAACATGGGGAAAATGCCGTAAACAGTAACCGAAGATTGATCACAAGCATGTTCCTTGACGGAGTTAATGCTCTTGGCTTTCGAGGGGGCGCGATGTTGAGCCAGCAGCAAAGCTACAGCTTGAAGTAGCCGCGGGATCTTAAGACGAAATGGCTGCATCGCCCCCACATTCTTCCGACGTCTGTCTCCGAAGACTGCAGTATGTAAACTGAGCAAGTCAAAGCGTAAAGGGATAAGAAACTCGAAAGAAAAATTAGTGAAAAGTCATAGCTATAGAGCTCATCAAGACTTCTGGGCCTTTTCCATCCCCGTCGGATCCTCTGCCCTCATTTGGCATCTTCAAACATGGCAACAATACCCGTCACCCGGCTGCCGAACACTTCTATCGCAGCAATGAAGTGTCCCCCTGGGACAAAAATGCACATCTTGGATCTTGGAACGCTACAGGTCGACGAGTCATGGTGTGTTGGAGCCTCGCCGAAGCTTTGAGACCCTAACTAACATAAATCTAGGATTCTTCGAGGCGCCAACGCCAGTGCACTGAGTAACAAGAACCCCAAGAACAAACGTCGCGACTTGATAGACTTGTCTGCACTGATTGAGTACCCAGGCGTGGGGCGTACCCTATTTGAAACGGAATGTGCTGAGAATATCGACGTAGTATGCATACCGCTCTCATTTTATTTTGTAAAACTGCACTTACTGATTAATTACTTAGGAATGGGGTGCCCCTTTGACCGACATATTTCCTCGTACGGGATACTCAGAGTGCCAGAAGCTACCTGCTGCGATCGAAGCCACAGGTAACCATATATCAGACGTCAAGGCAGTCATTATGGGCCATCTCCACCTAGACCATGCCGGGGGCCTGGAGCATTTTGTTGGAACCAACGTCCCTATCTATACCCATGAATAGGAACTAAAGCATGCTTGCTGGGCCGTAGCTACCGGTGCAGACTTGGGCGTCCACATGGGCCATTATCTTCTCCTTGAGAGCTTGAACTGGAACACATTTAATGACTCTCACCTCGAGATCTTCCAGGGCATATCTCTCCACCATTTGCCAGGACATACTCCCGAACTGTGTGGGATGCAGATCAACCTGCAAAGAGATGGCACATTCATTTGGACCACAGACCAATTCCATGTTGGGGAGAACTACGAGCTTGGGCATCCACACGGTGCCCTTGCAAGGGATCATAATGCGTGGTACCGAAGCCTAAACACGGTACGGAGACTGCAGCGAATTTATAATGCCAAGTTGATTTTTGGACATGATAAGATAGTTGCGATGGAGTACAAGAACGCCAAAAGCTTCTATCAGTAGTTAGTTTAGCTGAGTTGAATGATTGCAGACTGTTCCTTTTCTGATCCCTATATTTCATTCTCGCTTTATGACTCACGAAGCTGTCACCGCGGATTATCTCTGATGGTCCGGAAGACTCCATTTGCCATCATCAAGAACCTTAGAAATTGACGCTGGCTTCTCCCGCTAGTATTGGCGTCCATGCGATTTACTCGCCTAATTAGCCGAACTCACCAATTGGACCTTTCCCTTCGATGAAGGTTTACCAAGCCTGCTTTATCGCCGCGGCTACTTCACCAGATACATATGGCCTTGTAAACGTCTTATGGGACCCTCCATATTGCCGGGATTCTGATTAGCCTCACATCTAGGCAACGTACTTTCAATGACGACGAAAGTTAAAAATTAGGAAAGGAAATATCTGGATTTTTTCCTCGGATATTGCTTCCAAGTTTTACAATCTATGCAAATTAAAATTTGGCTTTGAGCAGTCAGAACGATAACCACAATGGCTAATAGTTGTCACATTGTATTATATAGTGTGTATTATGATTATTAGTCCAATAGAATTTAAATTGCCATGCCAATTTAGTCTCAATATTCCTATTACGCCTGGTTCTGTAACCATTGATATACAACAGAGAGATCCTTGCCACTGTACGCCTCCTCAACCGCGCGATATACCTCATGAGCCTTCTCAGCCAGTGGTAGCAACGCTCCAGAAGCTTTCGCGCCGGCCATTGCCAGCTCGAGGTCCTTCTTGATGATGTTGACTGTACCCCGGGTGCATAGCCATTTGAGGCTGGGGCGGATTCGTCAACTCCGGGAGCAGGATTGTTAACATCTATCGGCCAACAACGTCCCGTTGAAGACTTGATGAGATCGGACAGCGCCCGAAGATCAAGTCCCCACTGCCGAGCCATGTTCAGCGCCTCAGCCGCGGCGATGTTGTTGATGCTTAGGATGTAGTTGTTGGCTAGTTTGCTGCACACGCCAGCTCCCTGGTCGCCCATGCGGCGAGCACTCTTTCCCATCAGTAGAAGGGCTGACTCAACTTGCTCCTTCAAATTCTCGGGTGAGCCGAACATGAAAGACAATGTGCCTGCACAGGCTCCGACAACCCCACCAGACATTGGTGCGTCCACGAAATGCCCACAGTTTGTCTTGTCAAGCATATCTCCTAATTCTCTAGAGGAAACTGGGTCGATCGTAGAACAGTCGATGAAAAGTCGCTCATCTGACAATTGGGGTAGTGTGCCGTGATCCAAGATAGAATTATAAACGTCCTGGACGATCCTTGGGGAGGGTAAACCAGTTATGAGGACAGTCTAGTGCATATACAGTCAACCACTATTCTGTATGACATGGGTAGGGTTTAGTCCCGCCTACCGACTTTTCTGCAACTTGCCTGGCGTTATCGGCAATGTCGAAACGGTATGGGTTGTCTGCTGCATTGCGATCCTTCATAGCGTGCACTTATTCAGCAAATCGATTCATGGCGCTGTAATTGACGTCGTGGATGATTAACTTGTATGACTTTGGCATCTTCTTTCGAAGGTTAATGGCCATGGGATAGCCTGTCAATAGGGAATATAGTCAGCAGAAGACTTCCAACTGATAGGACACGAAGCCGAGAGTTAGCGCCATTGGTGAATTCTTTCAGCGTCCTGGGATCACGCATACCTCAATCTGGTGGTCGAAATGCCGGGGAGGACTGGGAATAACGGCTTCGACCTCTTCGCCCGTCTGCCGACGCCTCCGTACCTTGTTCCTATCGTAAATGCCTCGCCTCGAAACGATCAATGCCCAATCACTAATCTGGTCCATTCGACAGCGACTGCAGGGTCGACCGACTTGTACAGCATCACATTTAATCTTGCGTTGATGACATCTTTTCGGTACTTCACAACGGAAATGCTTATATTACATTAGTCTGCAATAATAATAAAATAATTAGTTAAGTAAGTATTAGTACCAAAGTTTAATATGTTTTAATAAGGCCAGATTATCTTTTAACCCTAGGTCTTTTAAAGTTCAACATTTACTTATTTATAATAGAATTTTCCTCCCCGGGCCATATCCGCCGCTGTCAACCCTGGACCTATCACATATTGCAAGGGTACTTTTTTTTTTGTATTGGCTCCACCATTACCTTATTAAGACTTTATGTCGTTTACATAAATATCTTATAAACCATACCTATTGCTTATTACATTAACTACCTCGGTTCTATCTTTTAGCGCTCTTCGAGTCTCTGCAGTTATTCACCTTCGGAAAGTCCAAATCCAAGGTAATAAGCGCGATGCCGCCGAGTCATGGCAGATCCTACAAGCGGGCACATGTAGCTTGCAAAGCCTGCAATAGTCGCAAGGTCAGGTGCACTATCACATTGTCTGGTCCCCCATGTGCCAACTGCGCGGTGGACAACATTCCCTGCGAGATGAAGACCCGTAAGCGGCGACGGCAAGACTACCTCATTTCCAGAACCAATGGCATGTAAAGCTAATTGACATAGGAACACGGATATACTGCCTGCCATATCTGATCCAGGGACGCAAGAGAATCCTATGTCCTTAGAACAAACTCCTCCAGCAACACGACTCTGCACTTCACAAAGCGAGAGCCCCCACTGGGATACTTCTGGTCTAGCGAAAGACTGTGAACCATCTCGTTGGGGCCCGATGACTGGTGCCGTTCGTTTATCGCCGGACCACTCCCAGCAAGCCCATAATGCTTCATCTGCCACTTCTAGCCGAGACACTATTGTTGTTGGACACAATACCGATGAGAGCGATATAGGTGTAGCATTTGACGCAGAAGCTGATGTACCAAGACAAAACGGCCACCAAGATGAAGTAGAAACACCCCCGATTGCAAATGCCACATCAGCATGGGCTGAGACTCTTGAAGAGCATGAGAGTGATGGTAATCGAGTGCCTTTCTATCCAGGTATGCATGTAAAAACCATATATCCAGCCCGACAGCCTCCAATATTGACAGTTTCCAGGTGATAGAAGAGGACCGGCTTTCGTGATAGATATCTGCAAACCCCAAAGATCAACTGACAGCAATCATTCTTTTGTTGTTATGCCTTCTTTAGAGTCCCTCCAACCAGAGGAAATCGAGTATCTTCGGTGGAAAGGTTGCTTTTCATTGCCTCCGCATCCACTTCAAGAAGCCCTCATCAAAGCGTATTTCCATCATGCTCATTCTTTTGAGCCAGTCCTGGATCCTCAAGACTTTTTCTGTGCATATAGTAAAGGTCAACTTAGTTTACTACTTCTCTGGTCGGTCTTTATGTGCGCTGCAACTGTAAGTTCTCGGTTACTCCGTGGTAGGCATACACATGTTCACTGGTCAGTTTGTTGAAGATAGTCTGTTCTTCGTGAACCTGTTCGAATCTTCACTTACTTTTAAACGACATGCCTTCCAGCGTGCAAAGGTACACTGAACCTCGATGTTCTCCTCGTCCCTGCTAGGCTCGACTTAGCTGATGGCGTATAGACACTGTACGACGCAGATTACGAGAAAAACAAAGTTACGTTGATCCAGTCCGTGTTTCTTATGGGACACTTCTACGCAGACGCCGAAGATCGCCTGGGCCCTTGGCACTGGAACGGCATTGCTATTAGCCTATCTCATACCATCGGTATTCACATGCTGACATCTCCCGCACGAAACGGCATTCGACCTTTATGGCGTCGTATCTGGTGGTGTATTTACTACCGCGAGGTATGGCTGTCAATGGGCCAAGGTCGACCAATGAGGATATCTCTGGATCATTGCTCAACTCCAATGCCGGGATTATACGATACGAGTCCCAGCTGCTCGCCAGAGTACCAACACTACGCACCCGAGGAGCTCGGTATACTCTTTGGGATATGGCTAAAGTTGATCGAGGTAACACGCATCATGGGAAGAATATTATCACTTAACTATACCATAAAGGGAGCAAGGCCTTCCAGGGCCATTATCGAAAGAGACGAAAATGAGATTCGAGCCAACTGGATTCATGATGGGAACAACGATCAGAGTCCAGTGCTGGCTTCTCATGTATATCAATATCGACTTCACACTCAGTATGGTTCCGAGGGTTATAGATAGTCATTGGCTAAACAGTTATCGCAGGGCAGCTATTATAGCTCTTTACAGGCCATTTCTCCACGAAGCACCAGACGGAGTTCCAGATGATGAGCAGGACGGTTGGAAAGCGTTTGCAAGTAGCAAGCTTCGGACTGCAGCCGCTCATGCGACCCATGCCATCAATTGTATGATGGCAGAAGATCTAATCAAGTTCTCTCAAACGATTACGTACGTTATCACAAAACTGCAGAAAGCCTCTGATTAACTGTCTGTCACCCAGTGTGCTCACGATTAGCCCGCCAATCCAAATCCATCTGCTGGAGATGGCATCATCCAAGGTGTTATCCAACAAACTGGCAAAGCATAACTTGGCCCTGTGCTTGCTGGCTCTGGATGAGATGCGAAAGTCTTATGTCTCGGCAGACGCAGCGTATAAGCTATTCGACCGCGCCAGGATCATGGTGGAGAAATCTCTTGGAGAAGATGCAATGGTTTCGCAAGATCTCGCAGCCGCAGCTAACTTGTCACGAGAAGCTCAGGGGATTGAGACTTCCGAATGGCTCGATGACTCTACGCCTGTGGGCCATGAATTTGCATCGGTGGGCTTGTTTTCTGCCCTATGGATGCCCTTTGCAAACCTCATACCAGACGAGTCTTTAGAAAGTTCCTTCTAGGCGATGGTTATAGCTTCAGTAGCCAAAAATTAGCTTATGCAAACAACTAGTAATCCCGGTTCGTATTGCGAAAACTCGATGCTCTGAGTTTATCAGATATGTAGCAAATGACCCTGCCCCACCCACTTCTTACCTCGGCTGAGAAAGTTCACAACTCAGTGATGGTAGGGGACCAGCTTTAAACGCTATTATGTGGACATCAGGTTACAATGCGTCTGGCGCGGAAGATATCCTCCCTCCGTTAAGGGTGTCATGACGCGGCTGTTGGGAAAGAATCCCAACTGCCGAATCCATAGATCCAAGATGTGCCTCGGCTCTCCACATTATCCCCGCTACTCCTGATGGCCTGTTGTATATAAGCAATGCCCAGCGAACAACACATTCAATTGCCAGTTTTTCCTCAGACATCAGATCTGTACCACGAATACGTACGCTTAGACACACTCCATAAAGACCATGCCCGAGGCCCCAAATTCCATTATTAACCGGGAGACCGGTGCAGAGAAACGGCTTGGGCACAAAAGCGCCACAATTAATCCCCATCTGCAAAAGCTCATTGATCAAACACTCTTAAATGGATATGTTGTAATCCCGAACGCTTTCACCAACGCGGAGGTCGAAGAGGCGAACACGGAACTACGACGTCTTGCTTCTAGCCCACATGCCGGTCCCGCCGTGTCTGGGGGCCGCAATAAGTTCGAAGGGCTGAGAACGAATCGGATTTACGCTCTGCTCAATAAATCCAGAGTGTTTGACAAATTTGTACTCCATCCTGATGTTCTAGGTCTCAATGAGTATTTTCTGGATCAGGGCTTTCTTCTGAATGCATTCCATAGCATCAATATTCAACCAGGAGAAGCCCCCCAAACAATTCATCACGATGATGGCTTTATCACGATACCACGTCCACATCGCCCCTTTGGGACCGTATGTACTTTGCCCCATTTGGCTTTACAATGTCTGACTCGAATAGGCGATCATGGTTGCACTAGATTCTTATACGAAAACAAATGGCGCTACAGTCGTTGTTCCAAAGTCGCATACGTGGGACTCGAGTCACGTTCCGACGCCTGGCGAAGCAGAGCCTGTTATCATGGAAAGAGGAAGTCTGGTTTATTTTCTAGGTACGCTATGGCATGGCGGGGGCAAAAATGTATCTGAAAAGGAGCGGCGAGCACTCACGGTTCAATATTGCCAGCCATGGGTCCGTCCACTGGAGAATCAGATCCTTGCAGTGGATTGGGAGAAGCTAGACGAGCTCCCGCCCCGACTGGTCGATATGCTTGGGTACCAGGTAGGCGCTCCCTTTGTGGGGTACGTAGACGGGATTAGCCCCAGAAGGGCTGTGGAAAGGAAAATGAGGGCAACGGAAGCAGGTAATGGATTTACTACTAAGCTTTAAACTAGATGCAGGAACCGGGATACGGACTGGAGTTCGATTTATTGTCTATTATGTAGTTATTTGCTGGAACCTACTATCTTTCTTAATGTTACTGGACAGGCTCGTATCAGTAGGTGTTGAAACAAAATCATGATCCTGTGTTCAACTTAAGAGTGCAATGGGTCATCTTCTTGGTGGAAACTCAAATAATGACTAGCATGCGATAAATCGTAAGCCCGACGCAAGCGCACGAGCCTAATAAACAGTTGTGACCCAGGAGAACCAGGAAGTTTCAATATGTACATGAATAAGCTTAATGACCTCCTTTC